TATATAAGGAGCTGCCAGCTTTACCTGGGGAGTCAGGGAAAGCCATTCCTAGCAGAGGGACTGTGACATGCAAAATGTAGTGTCATGGCAGGATGTGGCATTTTTTGAGATGGAAGTTCAATGTGACTAAGTAGAGCCTGCACTGGATGAGGTGGCAGGAGGTAAAGTTATGGAAGTAGATTGGGGCCTGATTGTAAAGGACTGGTGCGTTTAAATTCATGCTGTAGACAACAGCCCCTGCATTTTGGATCAGAGGAACACTAGGATTATTGTTTTTCCTTTAACTTTTATCACTATTTGTCCCGAAGCTTGGGATGACAGAATTTCAATGAAGGGGATAGCGTATGACATTATTAGAAGTGACTAATTTAAAATCCTCTAGGAACCATCCTGGCAGTGGTATCTCTTGCTGGGCCAATTCACTGCCTGTCTCTCTATCTGACTGTTAGATTTGTGTCTCAGAAAGGCAATTCTGATGGCCATGTGGAGAATAGGCCAGTGCTAGAGAAATGATTTGGGAGTAAGAGGTATGCAGGGATAATATACACTTAACCATGTGACCCAGAAAGCCCACTCATAGGTATTTACCCAAGAAAAATGAAGCCATGTGTTCACACAAGTACCTTTACATGAATGTTTATAGCAGTTTTATTCACAATTGCCAAAGATTGAAAGAAACCCAAATGTCCATCAGCACAATGGATAAGCATATTGTGGTATGTCCATAAAATGGACCACTACTGAGCAATAAAAGAAGTGAACTACACTACTGACGTGTGCAGTAACATAGATGAATCTCGAAAGCACAGTGCTAAGTGACATAAGCCACTCTCAGAAGGCGACATACCATTTGACTTTCCAGAAGAGGCAGAAATCACATGAGTGATTGCTGATGGATGGGGAGTGAGGACTGACTGTGAAGTAGCAAAAGGAAATGTCTGTGATAGAATTGTTCTACGTGCTGATTGTGGTGGTAGTTAAACAACCATATACATTTGTCAGAACTCATCAAATTTTATAATATAAAAGGGTGAATTTTACTGTATTTAAATTATACCTCAATAAACCCATCTTAAAACAAGAAACAATAATAAATGAATAAACCTCAAAAACATGCTAAATGAAAGAAGTCAGATTCAAAAAAAGTGTAAACTGTCTGCTTCCATTTACGTGAAACTCTAGAATAGGCAAAACTGATCTGTGGTGTAAAAAATAATAAGAGTAATAGTTGTCTGGGAATGTGACGGGGCAACAGGGTATTTACCATGAAGGGGCATGAGGGGTGATGGAAGTATTCTGTGTGGGTTGACATGAGTGTGGATACGTGGATGTATCCAATTGTCAAGACTCCTCAATAGTACACTTAAGATCTGTCCATTTCATTAAATAGATCAGTTTTACCTCAGAAGGGAATATAGAGATAGGCTGGACTAAAGAGAAAGAGATCTGGTGATGTGTCGGATTTGGGAGGTGGTGAAGAGGGTTTCTAGCTTTGGAGACTAGTGCATGGGGTTTTACAAGACGGAGAATAATGGGAAGCCAAACAGGTTTTGGGCAAAGATAACGAGCTGTGTTTTGTTGAGTGTTGAGTACCTGTGGGGTACTCTAGTGAAGATGTCTAGCTAAGGCATTTGGAATTATGGATTTGGTGTCTAGGAGACACTTGACTGAAGATAGAGATTTGAATGTCATCATCATAATATTAATTGCAGCCGTGAGAATACATGGGGCCACCCAAGAAGAGAAGTAGAACTGAGAAGGAAAGAGACCTGAGGATGACACCCTGAGCAAACCTACCAGTGACTTGTTGGGCAGAAGAGAAGGAATAAAAGGAGGAGGGAAAGGAGGGAAACAATCAGAAGAGAGCAGTGTCCTGGAACCAAGGGAGAGGAAAGTTGCAATAAGTAAGGGGTGGTCAGTGGTTTCAGACGCTTGGGCTTAAAGCAGCAGCGTGGTCTTTGGTGATCATGGTGAGAAGAGGCAATTATTAAAGAGTGGCAGCAGAAGCAAATTCTTATGGCTCAGAGAGTGAAGAGGCATAAGGAAAGTTATGGTGGCTAAGCCTAGGTTGCTTTTCCAGGAAGCTGCTTTAAAGAAAGGGTGCTGATGTGAAGTACAAGGTGGAGTCAAGCTTCTTACCTTGACTAGGCACAGTTTCAAGTGTGTTTCGATTTGGCTAGGGCTGAAGGAATTGCATCTCACCAAGGAAAATTTGCCGGAGGAAACATTGTTGAATAAGGTGGTAGCAATTGTCCTTCGAAAATACCTGCTGTTTGTCACGATGAAGACAACACAGAGGAACAAAGAAAGTAGCTCTCAGAACTGGAAAAGCTTAGATTGCCTGCGCCTTTTACTGACAGAACACGGGTATATCTCATTCTGGATACTGAATTTTTGTAATTCTAGACGCTGCTGCTAAAACACACAACATTGAAAGGTGAGGAAGTTTAATAGTCTCAGTATAGCCTACTTTTTACCTTTTAAAATCTTTAATGTCCACAGACAATCATAAGTTAAAAGGGTCGTTATGAGGACTCTAGTAGCCCGCCAAGGGCACGAATGATTTTGATTAAGCTGAGTTGATTGTTGTAAGAGGTAAACTCGATACAAATGCTCCCTTTTTCACCCTGGTCCTCTCCCCCAGCCTCTCAGGTGAGCTGGGCTTTGCACTGTGTTGTAGTGCTGCCCCAAACCCCACTCTGCAGTCGTGTGAGCCCTGAGCTGGTGCAGGTACAGATGTTAGATTCAGAGCTGATTCTGAGATTGTTTAACACTGGTAGGTCTTAAACACTTGCAAGTAAAGGGTGTTTTCTCTCTCTGGGGTGGTTTCCCCCAACCTCCTGCCCTTACTTTCCAGAATATTGGTTCTTAGCCTTTCAACTGAGAGTCTTGGAATTTGCCTCTTAATTTGGGAGATAGTTAATGTGTCAACTGCTTATTGTGAGATATTTAAATAATAGGTTTCAGTGATTGTTAATTCTTATTTCAATTTGTATTCATTTGTGGCTAATTCTGCAAATCTGATCAATATGTGCCTCAATCATTATTCTCTCCCTGTTCCTTATGCTGTTGTTATTAATAATATCATTTTATGAAGCAGTCGAATCCTGTGCTTCAGCTTTTAAAAACAGAAGAGAATGTTACTTTTCTTGAATCAGACTCACTTTAAACTTTCTCCTGCTTGTGTAATGTTAATCTAGACTGTAAATATTGCAATTAGATTTTTTCTTTTAAGTGCCTTTGTTAGTGCTATATCACAAAAAGATTTTTCTCAGATTAAAAGAGGCAATATTCTATGGGGTGACTGAAGATTAGGTGAAATATTCGGAAGAGTGTCCTGGCCATAAAAGCTATGAATTTGTTACCAAAAGAAGACAAGTGAAGGAGCTTTCTTTCCTTTATACTTTATAGATAACATACGATTTTTGTGTAGTTACATGAAGGTGAATCCTATCTCAGACTCTCTTATAGTTTGTGATTATTTTTTACAAATTAAATGGAACCCTAAATAAGTACTATGGAAGCCAACTCCATGGAAACTTCCTGAGAGAGAATTCGAATAGGAATATCTACTTGAATCCATATTGCATAAATAGGAATTCTGGACATAGGTTTACTGAGGATACAGATATTGACAAGTGGTGATTAATAAAGAGGATAAAGGAAACCAAGGATGCTAATGAACTATCAGAGAGAGATGAATTTCCCATGCTCCACAGCGAGAAACAGGTGGAGTCGTGAGGAGGATCCAGGTCTCTAGGGTCCCATTCTAGGATTCTTGGTACTACACCAGACTTCCCATGCTCTAAAAGAGTCTTTGGTACCATTTGTTTAGAAGCCTACATTTATTTTTCTATGTTTTTGAGAGGATTGATAAATGGGAAAATCTGTCTGCAAGGAAGGGATTTTGTTTCAAATGAATTTCTAGAAAATACCTGGCTGTGTTCTGTGGGTGTGAGCTGTGGCCTCTGACCTCTGGTCAAACTGTAAGGAAGCTAGTCTTTTCTCTTGGAAAGAAAGTGTGTGTAAACAGTTTGAGGGACAGAGAGTGGGATGTTTGGGAATGAATGGGACTTAAGAAATCTGATGTATGATGTATGTATACTAAGGAGGACTGTGGAGAGCGTCTCACTAATGATAATAATAAGAGTAAAGGCTGCCAGCTGAGGTTCCAAAGTCAGCCTCTCATCTCTGCATGCCGGGAGAAGAGCCATCTCACGGTCTGACTTTGGTCTTTGCAGCAGTTGGGGAGTTAAGGGACGAGAATCAGTAAAGAATCCAGAAGGTGTAGCAGTTTGATCTCTGGCTCCCTCCCTTCTTAAATAATATTAGTGGTGCAGGATGGCTTGTCATAGTCCTGCTCTGCTGCCACTTGCTCCCTCATTTTTCTTCTGTCTTTCTGTGTTGGGCCAATGTATTTTATTTTCTATCTCCAAAGGGAACTGAAACCATAGGACAGTGGGAAGAATAAATATGTTTTACACATTTAAATGTCTTCTTGATTTAGATTGCAAAAGCATCGTCTTGGTTTAAGAAAATTTGATGGAAAGATCCTAGAGAGATGTGTTCAATAGATTTTTCTGTTTTCAGAGTGTGGTGGGAAAGTGGTCAGGGAGAACAATCCAGAACAAGCCCAAAGCAACATTGATACTGGATGCACCTGTTGCATTCTTTTTCCTAAATTTTTTCACCATTATGTACAGCAGCAGAATCACACCTGTTGACTCTAGAGTCAGATCACTTTCTGTGTAGAGTTCAGGAACAACAGTAGAGTGTTGATAAAAACAGTGGAATTTTATAGCATTCTTTTCTTACTGTCTCTAGAGCTTGGTTAATTTCTCCTGAATTTGAAAGATTCTCTACTTCTACTTCTTCTGGATACTTACACTCAGCAAGTTTCAAGGCCTCTGATGGGAGTTGACTGGATTCAGTATTTCGGATGTTTGTTCGGTTGTGACACGGAAAATGATCTTGTGTATTGTGTTATGTTGTATTTCTAGAACTCTATGGCTTTGACGTGCTCATAGATTCTACTCTGAAGCCATGGTTGTTGGAAGTGAATCTCTCTCCTTCTTTGGCCTGGTAAGTAGTCTTGTTCCATTAACTAGAAAACGATACACCTTCAATGAGCAGCACTGAATTTCTTTTTTTTTTACTTTGGCCATTTATCTTGGCACTAGGAGACTTTTTTCCCTTGACTATTAGAGCTGACTAGAATTTCTAAATTTAGGGGATTTGTGGTATGTTGTCAGAATCCATAGTGCAGTCGTGGATCCCTATCTTACTAGTCAATTTGCAGTCTGTGTTTCCTCTTTTACTGGGCTTCTCAGGGAAGCTTCTTTTGTTTTCTTTTTTATCCCCAGTTCTTTTTCTCTCTCCCTCCCCGTTTTTTCAGCTTTGTAGGTGTTCTACTGAGGCTAAAGAAATACATGAGATACTGTATTTCCTTTGCTACCAAAAATTTATACATACTCTAATCCATATATATTATAAAGGTATAGAGCTGGGCCTAGGGTAGTGTGGATGATATCTGATCCTTTGACCCTGTTCTTGTCCTGGTGGTATCCATCCAAGATTAAAGTCTAAAAACTTCAAACAATTAAAAAAAATTTTTAACCTATCTATTGTTTAGAAGAAGGAAAGAAACTTATTTTGCAGTACCAGAGAAGATTCTGCTTATATCTACAGCTACAGCCAGAGTTTCTATTAGCTATATGCTTCTCTAAACAGCTAGAGAACTCTGGAGATTTATGCCAGAGACCACCCAGCTGCTGCATTTTTAATGATGAGAAATGTTGGCAGAATGCCAGGTAATCAAATAAAGACAGATTGACTGTTTTGTAGGGTGAATTTGGCTTCATCCCAATAGTAAGGTGTACAGCTAGATATTACAGATGCTTCAGATGTCATGCTACACTTTGGTTAAGTCAGCATTTTGCAGATTTCCTGGCGATGTACATCATACAGTGTTAGAGATCCCCAGGATGGTGCATGGGCCCAGTAGCCAGAGTAATCTGGTTCCTGGGGAAACACCTCAACACCAGTGCCAGCATGGCAGTCACTGCCACAGGGAGGCCTCCAGCTCTCAGTCCATGTTGTTTCTATTTCCATGTGGGTTCCCGCCACATCACCTGGTGATATTCTGGTATAGCTTGTATTTTTTTTCTTCATTTGCAAGCCTGTAAACTTAAGAAGACTGACTTAGAATGGAAAATGAAGCCTTACAAAAAGTACAAAGATGCCCAGGTTTCTCCTCTTGCATGTGAATGTGATCTGACTATTGCAGCAGTAAAAAAATAATATGAATGATGGGCATTCTCCTAAACGAGCATATTAGAAGTCTGAACCTCTGAAATCCACAGTGATAGTGAAACAGTATTCTTGACTTGTATGAAATTTGAATTGCACAAGACCTTCTGGAATAAAACGAATCCATGTCAGGGGATCGGCGCCTGAGAGCTGTGCCTGCCTTACCAGGGATGAGCTTGACTTTTATTTCTAGAATTTTGGCCCAGATTTCTTTTTCTTTTTCCATGGATTTGATGTGCTTTATGTGTCGCTTCTCATTGACATTTGGAAGCTTTTGTTATATTGGGGTTTGTGAGGGGCAGCTATTCTGTTAACCTATAAAATTATCTATTGCTCCTTTCTTTCTCTATTCTCTTAGTGATGCACCTCTGGACCTAAAGATCAAAGCCAGTATGATTTCAGATATGTTCACAGTTGTAGGTGAGTAGTAGTAGTTTTCTGAAAACTCACATGAAAGTTAACCAGAGCATCCGTTTTGTCAGGCTCTATATGTGTTGCCAACTGGCAGTTCCTCAGCCATGCTGAATGTTTTGTACTAAAAAATTATATTTTCAGGGAAGTGTTTATATGTTTCTATTCCCCCTGGCTCCATCCTGTCCTGAGGCTGAACCACAACTAGGGCTGAGAACTAATTCCCAGGGCACAGAAATTATGAGCTAAGGAAGAAAATTAAGCAAAGATCTGGAGAAAGTATATTTTTCTCTGAGCTGGGATAGTGAAATCCACTGAAGAAGCTTTGTTACAGAGGAGACTGGCTCTGTTTCTGTTAGACAGTCTCTGTGGTGTCAACATGATCCCTTCTGTAGTAGTCCTAACTGAAACAGCCCAAGAAGAAATCCCTTTTGGAGTAGATAAGCCAAAACTTTGAAATGGACATAGGCAGCCAGGTGGGTATGTTGTGGGTTTGTTGTTTTTGTTGTCTTAAGCACTCTAAAAAGACATAAGAAAATACATTTGAAATGAGCTAGCACTTGGTGTACCAGAAAATGCTGTAAAACATTGCTACTCTATTCTCCTTGGATGAGAATCTGCTTCTTTTTAGGAAATAAGTGAAATTAGCCCAAGTCCAATTTCTTAAGCCATGGATAATGTACACAGCCCATTTTGGAAGTTGCCAATAGACCACCTTTAGCAGTTCCGTAAGTGGATCCTATAACAGATTGAGAACCCTCACTTGCTTCTGGATTCTCCTGGTAAAAACAACATTATTTTCCAGTCCCCATCCAGGAAGCCACTTTAAAATAGTTTGTTTTTATTACCAACTATGTGTTTTTGAATGGTGGTTTCCACCTTTACTCTGAAGTTCATCAAAAGTCTACGTCTCTTTCTCCATCAGAATCACATTTCAGCTGCCCAACAAGGAAGGTCAATTTATCTGCGTGTTTTTCCCTTCTTGTTCTCTCCAGTTGTGGTGGTTCGAAGCTCAAGCAGAGTATGTATATGGGAGAGTCATGCCTAATCTTCTTGAGGATGGAGCTCTGTAATGTTAATGGCAGTGAAACTGAGTTTGTGTATCTAACAGAAAGGTGCAGCTAAACCTGCTCATTTCTTAGAAAATGGCAGGTTTTAATGTTTCCCATTCCCTATTCAGGGTTTGTATGTCAAGATCCTGCCCAGCGGGCATCAACCCGGTCAATTTATCCCACCTTTGAGTCTTCAAGGCGAAACCCTTTCCAGAAACCTCAGGTAAGCAAATCTAGCAGCAGAGAGCCCACAGGAGGCCTGCTGGAAAGTGGCAGCTGGTGTCGGTGAGGGAGCTGAAGTGCAGAGCAGGACGGCCGGGGACCATGACAGGAGGCAGCTGTACTCAGCCATCGCCAATAGCTTATGCTCTTAATGCTTTCAAACGAACTTACTCTCCACTTTTTGTTTTTCTTTTCTTCTGGCTTCTTTTTCCATTATCTTTCCTTTTTTCTTTCTTTTTCTTTTTAAAAATCATTCTTTTTTTTTCTGAAATTGATAGGCTCATAAGTGAGGCACACAGGGAGAGCCTGCAAATTCGTCATCGTTACTCTGCTGCATTCTTTTTGATTTTCAGACTAGCTTCGTAGAGAAGATGCCAGATTGAAATACTGGCTTCTCTACATGCAGTTCTTTTCACAAGGACCCTCAATGATTTTGAGATATTGATTGAGGTTAAATGAGATAAATGCCAACAGAAACCTGTGTGTGTCTGAAACATCATTTGATCCAGCCTTGCTCCAGGCTTTGTGTACTCTGCATTTCTGTTCCAGTTAAACCAATCAGCTCATCATTCTGTCTACTCACTTCATCATGTAGTCTGTCCCTGCCTGTCTAGACCTGGCTAGTTTCTACTTCTGTGTCTTTGCCTTTAACATTTTTTCTTATGTAAAAAGTCTGCTTTCCTCTCTTCCCATCTGGATTGATTATGTCACCTGCTCAGAAATTTGGAGATTTTTCCTTATTAAATCCATTCCACTCTGTCATGACTGTTACGGCTTTTCATTTCAATTTCAACATTATTGACTGGTTCTCTATTGCATTGTTTTGCATTCATTGATTTGTTGCTTTGAAATTGTCCGTTCTCCTCTACTAGATTGTAAGCTCTTTGAAGGCAGAAACAGCTATGTCTTCTCCCCCTCCTTCCCCCTTCCCTTTCTTCACCCCTCCTGTGTTCCTCCCCCACCTCCTCTTTAGCTCTCCACCTCTCCTTTTCCTCCTCCCATTCCTCTTCCTCCTCCTCTCCCTTTGGCTCGCTGGTCTCTTTTAGAGTACTGCTATTTTTGTTTGCTAAGCTCATGTGCTATTATTTATGCAGACAGCTTTTCATTAGAACAGGGTTTGCAAACTCAATTGCCTCTATGGGCTGCAGACAGACAGTGTGAGAGAGGAAATGGGGCCAGGTACAAGTGAGCTACGCGTGATGTGCCATAGTAAACCGGACAGTGCGTGCCTCATGTGAAAACGGGCAACCCTTTTACTAACGTGCTCTAGCTGATCGTTGCCACGCATGAGTGTGGGCCAAGTGCTGTCAGCTCTTCCTATTGTCAAGAGAAGTCAGAAATCTTATTTTAAAATACTGGCAATAAGTTCAATTAAAACAGTCATACTTTGCAGACCAAACATTGTCTTTGAGCTGGATTCAGTCTGTAGGTTGCTGATCTGTGACCACCTGCTCTAGAATTATTCTCTATTTTACTAGCGTTGTGGTATGGAACAGAGTGTACTATATTTTAAGAGGTATTATCTTGGATTAGAAGTAAAACCATGCAGCAGCATTGTACTTGACCAGTACATCACAGATCAAAGGGTTTTCTTTAATTTTTAATAAGGAGTAGAGTGTTAACCTGGGTGTACTAGGGAAACTGAATTGGGGCAGTCACGTTCCTTTACAGATTGTTTTCTGCAGTATCTGTGGGAAGAGCCACAGGGTTGTGTATAAAGGATTACAAGTGTTTCTGTGCAGCTTTAACAGGGTTTCTGCCAAGTTCCACTCTAGGGATGGCTGTATGTCAATCTTGGATGAATTAATCCCTTTTCTTAGCTCGCCTGTCAGTCAGCTTTTATCGGTGACTTTACAAACAGTGGAGAGTCTATCCAGCATTTGCTCTGCTGACTGGTAGTTAATGACATAACTTCATCCAGAAGCAGCCCACAGGACATTTCTTAAAGGTAGAAGAAGCTCTAGACGAGTTATGTGTACTATGTGAGACCAGTTAACAGGTGGAGTAGTTAACCTCAGGATCTTCAGTACAGGAAAGTAGAACTGAGTTCTCAGTGGTGAGAAGGTGAAACTGGAATAGATATGCCACAGGAGAAAGCAGTGTGAAAATGAATAAATGCCCTAATCTTGCAAGTGCAAAGTATAGGGCTTTTGCTTCTGCTCTTTGCTTGGAGATTATTTTTTCTTTTTTATATCACAGTTGTAGGAGTTTGAAAATATAGGCATGTCAGGAGAAGATAAGGCTTTATTCCATTTTTCTGTCTTTTATAGCGCCCAGTATCTGCACAGTTTCAGTCTTCAAGCACCAAACAGGTAAGTTCTGGATCATTTGGAGAGTTCATTCAAATTTTTATTTTCATCCCCCAAATGGAAAGCCTTTTAGCTTTACTCTTTCACAGCACATATTTCATGCACCTGTTTTTTGAACAGTTTAATAACATAAAACAGAAAAAGTGAAAATGAATGCATGGAATCTTTCAGTTATAGAATATAAGCATAGAGGTTACAGAACTTTATGAATCCTCTTTTTTATGATTATGCTGTGGTAGAGGCAGTTGCTTTGACCAAAATATTACAGAAAGGAAATATCGTAGTTCACAAATAACCTTTCATTTGTTCAGACATCTTATGAAACATACTATTGTCAGTAGTTTAATATTGGAAACATTTCACGTTGGATGTTAGGCTATATTTGACTTTTTTAACATGCCATTTCTTATATGTAGTGATTTACAGTTTTATGAATCTTAGAAACTCTGCCATAATTAGTGTCTCAGATGCTATTTTTAAAATAAAGACAAAATATTTTATCTCAGCCTCTTAATGAACAGAATTTGTCCTCTTTCTGTTCTTGTTAGCAGTATTTGAGATACATCGTCACTTCCTTCTACGCAGATCTTTTTAAAACATCTCTTTGAAGTGACAGGGTAGCCGTGAGGGTACTGCTTCTGCTGTTTGATGCTCTGATAAGAGGGCTGTAGATGTTCTCATGCACAAGCATGTCGCTTGCAGCTATTAGTTCTTTAGCAAAAAGCTCCAGTATGTTTATTTTGGCATTTGTATTCTCTGATACAACTTCTGGTAATTGTAAGCTTGACTTATAACTTTCTTAGCTACTTTTTGATAAAGTGATTTACATGGTTTATTTGAATCTAAAAAATGAAAAGACTTACTGGATGTCTTATCTAGTATTTGGTAACTAGTTAATGTGGTTCAGTAATACGAGTTTTGGTGTTTCATTGGTAGGATTAAAAATTCTGTAATATTTAGTGTTTTGTGTTTAGCTAGTACCTAAGTGTGCTAGCTACTCTTCATGGCAAACAAACAAAAAAACAAACAAGAAACCAAGGCTGTTGACTTCACAGAGCTTATATTCTAAATATCTCTTGAACTGATCTACTTAAGGAGAACATTAAAAGTATTATGTCATAGCTTTCTGAATTTGATTCCAAGAAACTGTCTGATACTTTATTCTAATCTTAATTTTCCTTTACCTATTTTACTTCTATTCCATCTAGCTCCATTGCTTGAATTGCAATAGCCTGTGGATGGGTGAGGCCTCTCTCTGGTAGCTACGTATTTGAACACTGCTAATATGACACAGAATCTTTCTGGCTTTATTCAGCCAACCTTTAACATGTTGAATTCTTCAACTATTTTCATCCTTTGCAAAGCTCTACTTTGTCACCATCTTTCTGTTAATGAAGCACTCTCAAATCCACCTTAGTGTTGTCAGAGCCAAGTGGGGGAAAAAAAAAGGAATTCTCTATTCTGGCCATTTAGACTATGTAGGGTTTTCTTCTTCTGGTGCTGTCAGATTGTGAAGTCACAGTTTTTTGCTTGTTGTCTGATGGTTTCTTTTTAATCCATTATCTCTTTCTACATTTGTTCCTTCCCTTGAATGCCTGTGGTTTCCAATTCTCCACTCACCGGAAGTTACATTTCAGTGTTCCAAGGCAGGCAGTATGGTTTTGTGAAAATAATGTGGACTTTAAAGTCAGAGAGACCTGGATTCAGATTTGAATTCTGCCAGTAACTAACTGTTAGACCTTGGACAAGTTCCCTTACATCTCTGAAACTCACTTCCCACATCTGTCAAATGAGGATAATAATACATGTGTGGAGTTCTGCTGAGAAAGGAATGATAAAACACAGGTACAATATTTGGGATAGTTTTGGACACATAGTTTACCCTCAGAAGATTTAGTCACCTTCATACTTGTGAGTCCTGTTTTGATTTTCCTTTTTCCATGGTCAGTATCTGGTGTTATTTTGATATTCATTTAACTATAGTCCTGTCTTTTCACATTTACTATCATCAACAAATGCAAATCAATGCAATTAATTAATTAATCCATCCTCCCAGACATTAATACAGATTCTAAATAAACCTTAATGAGTACCCGGTCACTTCTTAACTTGATTCACTGCTCCTTATTGTATCCTGCAGTTACATCTTTTAACTGTGTTCAGTTTTGGTTGGTGTATTTCGTTCATTATACCATGACACTGAACCCCAATTGGAAATGTAATTCAAAATAGAAATTTTACAAAATTTTCACAAATGCTTCTCTAAAATCCAGAGATATTAAATATATTTGCTATATTCTTCCCTTTTGTTATTTTATTTTAAAAATCAAAATTTTAAGGCATGTTATAAAATAAATAAAGCAAACTCCATACTGATATTCTTTATGAGCCCATTAAACTCTAAATGTTCATGGATTTTTTTCTTTTAATATTTGTTCCATTATTTTACTAGGGATTCAAGTTAGACTTACCAGACCGTAACACCAGGAGCATACTTCTTACATTTTTGAAGATTGGTACCTCATTTGTTTTTTTCTAATCTTCTGGTACCTCCTCAGTTCTTCATGATTTTTCAAACATAATTGTAAGTGGTTTTGGTAAGTTTTTTTGTTTTCAAAGCCAGTTCTGTTAATAACAAGATGCATGTCTCTCAGACTTGCAGACTTATATTTATTCCAAATTTTCAGATGTTGCATAGCTCTCTTTTTTTTTTTCAAATACAAACCTACTTCCTTACTTTCTTACTCCCAACCCCCCTCTAATTTCAAAGTACTGTACTTCTGTTTATGATTATATCTAAGCCTTCTCTGTCAGCCATTTTTTGGTCTATTTCCACCCAGATTTATTCACATGTGGTCACTTTTGTTCAGTTTCTTTCATTTGATAGCATTGACTCATTTTGCTTACTTGACTTTATTTTGTGGGTGGCAAGATGCCTCACATATAAATTGAGCTATTTCTAGTTCATTTGTTTTTAACACTGAATTCCAGACTTTGTAAATTGCATTGGGAGATTGTTATTTGTTGGATGATTTCTCTGTCAAACAGATTTTTTTTCCCCTCAATTTTGGTATCTTTGAGGCTACCCCTCCTTTTTTCATATTCTACCTTTTGTCCAGTTCTCATTACTGGTACTTGCCAGCTTTCTTGAGGCTGAGACTTATTTTTCTGATTCAGCATTTGTTTTGTACTGCTGTGAGTGGGGACAGGTGGCTCCTGGTCTCAGTCATTTCACATTTCTCAGTCAGTTCTTCCCTGACAGTGAAGGTTAGGTGTGTAGAGGTTTCTTCCTGTGAATTGTAAGTTGTACTGATGACCATTTAACATCTTTGATGCATGTTACATGGCAGAATTCTTACATAGACGATTAAAAGTCTGAGAACCCAATAGTTGTTTTTTTTTTTAAGAACCCAATAGTTTTAAATCTTCAGTCATCTAGCCAGAGGCATTGGTTCTCTTTAAGTTTGGAAGAGCTTTATTTGTTTATTTATGTATTTATTTATTTAGTGTATGCAGTCAATCCTTTGGAATATGTGGATTTATTTTATCTGCTATACAGAGAATATAGCTGAGCTGATATACCCAAAGTCAAAACCACAAAGTGGCTTGCGTTTGGACTGTTCTGCTCTTGTTTTTGACAGTCCTTATGGCCTTTCAAATCAGTCTGATTTGTCTTTTCTTTTGTTTTGCTTTTAATCTCCAGGTATATCTCCTTGGCACTCATAAGCATTTCTTTTTTCTCTTTTCTTTCTTTCTTCTCCTTTGTTCTCTCTGCTTTTTCTCTCACCTGTGTCTGTAATTCATTTGTTAGTTTCATTTCATTAACAAATACTGGTAGGATTTAACCAATGGTCCAAGATAGTAATGCTTTGTTCTGTATAAATGTATTTCTCCTTAAACCAGTACAGCAGATACTATGTTGATTAAAAAAACTCTCTCTAATCTCAAGTTTATTGAAAAGCTGAAATTGTCAAGATACTTTTGACTTTCTAGTCTGATATCTTCCAGTAGCTTCCCCAAAGACACAGGAAACCTAAGTGTATTTTAGAGAGGCATTTGAGATACATAGACTTTAGGAGCTACAACTTTTCATATTTCTCTCCCTCTCAGCCTTCTTAATAGTTTAGATTGAAATAAATAGGTGAAGAAATTAGAGGAATTTCTAGCCACATTTTTTTCTCTTGGAGTAGCATTGACCTTTTCTTTGCAGCTTGGTGGTATTTTGGCAATAAAAGAGTAAAGCCGTCAACTTATGGGCGTTAACAGCTGGAGCATTCATCTAACAAGCACCCTTACCCCTCCTTTTTCTAACTTCCCAAATGCCTCAGCCAGGAGCACCTGCCTGAATTCCTACATGCCTCACCCAAATAGTCCTAATGTATGCACACAGTGGCTAGAGTTAGGCTTGTGGGCTATGAGTAACAAAAGAGTGGTTGTGAATGTGTGCAGGAGACAACTCTTTGAAAGTGCCTGGGAGGGACAGTTAAGAGTTTTGGGGTGCTAAGTCATTGTTTTGGGGAGCAGATTTAGATAAGTAGAAGAAGGTTGCAACAGCATTACAATCTCAATCTCTGGAAGCCAGGAATATCATTCTGTCATGAAGCAATTCCAGAAAGATGAAAATTAGGTCCTAGAAAAGCAAAAAACAAAATTATGATAAAAAGATTAAAGAAAGAAAAATAAATGACAAATAAGCAAACAAAAAGACCCAATTTTTTAACAAACAAGAAAATGCACAATAAAAACAAAACAAAAAGACCCAAAAAAGCAAAAATGAAATAAATAAAATAAAAAAACCCAAATTGGAATTGTTCATTATATGTTATTCAATAGTGACTTGATCTGTGTTCTTATATATATGACCATTCCTTAAAACTATTTGATAGGTAATAACTACTTCTTAAAATATTTTCATTATTAACCTTTTAATACTGTTAATTTATCAACATTTTAAAAATAACATTCTTTCTATTCTAAAATAGTTAATCTTTATTACATCATTAAAATGAATGCTTACTTTACTCTCTTCTTACATGATTTCAGAGGACTTTAAGATATTCTTAAATTGTGTGAGATGATAAGACAGCTTGAATGGAGGATTTACTGCCAATGGCTCTCTGATCAGAGCCATGCCATCACGTGTGAAGCAGAGAAGTATTTTTAGCAAACAATAAATAAGGTGTGAAAATGACAAAAGTCCTCAAGACAGCCATTTAATATTTTGGCTTTTCCAAGTTATATACTAAATGGCATTCACACTTTTAAAGATTTTTTTTAAATGACTGTATTACTTATATTGATTCCCTTCCTAATCTTTAAACTTTCTTCTTGATTGCCCTCTCATCCCAACATGTGCTTTATAATGCATTTGCAGAGATTGGCAGGGAGTTAAATTTTTTTCCAAAATCCTCTGCAAAGTTTAATTCTCAGCCATGATTAGCCTGTGTGTCAGCACATTTATTCATTCATTTATGTATTCAATAGATAATTATTGATCTCCTAGTCCATGCCAAGTACTGTTCTAGATGTTAATGATACCACAGGAAAAGCTAAACAGATAAACATCCCTGCCTTCACTTTTTCCTTTAATCTGTTGATTTCATGTATTTTCTTTCATGGAGTTGCCTATCAGAAAATCTGTGTTTATAATTTGAGGCTAGCTTTGAAGATTAGTATGTATTGGTCTCCCTTGTGTCCAAAGGTTAAAACATTCATGGTTATTTATGCACAAGTGTATATTAGTCTGCTTGGGGTGCCAAAACAAAATACTTTAGACTGGGTGACTTAAATCACAGAAACTCATTTCTCACAGTTCTGGAAGCTGGGAAGTCCAAGATTAAAGTGCTAGCAAGGTAGGTTTTGTTCTGAGGTCTCTTTTTTGACTTGTAGATGACCACCATCTCACTCTGCGCTCACATGGCCCCTTCTTTGTGTATTCTCAGGCAGAGAGAGTGAATACAAGCTCTCTTGTGACTCTTCTAACGGCATTAATCCTATCAGACCAGGACTTCCCCTTCATGACCTCATCTAACCCTAACTACCTCCTTGAAGCCCATCTTCAAATACCATCACATTGAGTAGGGGAGTTCGGGGCTTCAACATACGAATTTGGGGGCAACACATTTAGTCCATAACAATGAATATTGCTGAAAAGATCAAAAGTTGGTTATTAAAATGTCTTTCCCTAGATTGTGTATACAAAGAGGGAAATGAACAATAGTTCCTGATATTAGGACTTCTGTCAAATCGAAGTTACTTCTAGGAATCAGGAGAGACAATTTGCATCCCCATTTCTTGAATTATTCCTTATTCTTTCTACTTGACAGATTTATTTGCCTTGTTTTGTTAGTCATCTTTTAAATAATAGTATATTTTCATGCTTCACACCATCTTAGTTCCTCTGTTACCTTTGTATTTCTTGGCTCCCATAACATCAAAATCACTTAAAACTTCCATTCTCCTGCAACCTTCCTGATCATCATTCAGAAGCCAGAGTAGCCCAGATCATCTTTGGGGATCCATGATGAGCATGGTCCACTTGACTGCCTCCGTGGGATATCTTTGGTCCAGGTCTCTTGAAGTCCAGCAGCCACAGTGTTTCTCAAGTTGTAGCCTTTTGTTCACAGCTTTTTTTTGTGTCTCTGATGACTCTTATCCCAGTATTTCCCCCCTCAAATTCTAAAACATCCCCACTGTCCAGCTTATTCATCTGTGACATAATAGATTGCTCCTTGTCTTTCTGTCTTATATCTCACTTTTCCTAACTCTCCTTCACCAGTGCTGAAAAGAATACAGTTTCTTAATGAAATAAATGCATATTTAATCTTACATTGAGGTTATTTTCAAATTTTTTCTCATGTCTTTCAAAATATTAGATAGACTCTAAAACCAAGATTAGGAGTAAGTACTAGCTTAGAAAGCTGTGTGAACATCTTTCTGTATTTCTTTTTTTTTTTTTTTTAACTTGTATCTCTCTCAACCCCTAGTGTTTCCCTACTATTCTTTTTTCTCTTTTTCCTTTGAGTTTACTAGCTTTCATCTATTTCCCAGGGTTTCAGGCTAAGAGATCAACTACAGAAAATGGGCTTGGGATTTGAGCTTATACTTAAATGTAGGGAACATAATAATGTTGAGGGACTGACTGACTAGAGGGAAATGAAGAAAGATGTTGAAACATTTTTTTGTTTCTGTTTTTCCTTCTCCTTAGCGTTCCCGTCCACTCTCTGCCAGCGACGCAGAAATGAAAAACCTTGTGGGCTCAGCCCGGGAGAAGATGCCGGGGAAGTTAGGTGGCTCTGTGCTCGGTCTGTCAATGGAGGAGGTAAAGATAACTCCATTTCAGGCCTTTGTGGGTTAACACAGGGTTCAGTGAGAATCAGTGAGTGATTCATAATATTCAACCAACTCATATCTTCCACTGAAAAGAGAAAGATTCAAGATGGGAGAAAAAGCTTCTCAAAAAACAGCATCTTAAATGGAATTAATTCCTTCTTTCATGCTTCTTTCATATTCTTGGGTTATAACTCTCTACCTCTGTTCTGTAACCACATGGATTACAGTTTTCAAAATAGGTACTCATTTTATTTTATTTTCTCTTCCTCCATGTAGATCAAAGTTTTACGGAGGGTAAAGGAAGAGAATGATCGGAGAGGTGGATTTATTCGCATATTCCCTACATCAGAGACATGGGAAATATATGGGTGAGGTGACTACCTTTTCTTTTTTTTATATCTGTTCTTCAGGTCCAGAGTGTTGAGTTAATTGTGACACAGTATCATCATTATTCTCCGTGTGGTGCTTTTGTTCTTTTGTTTATTTATTTATAACAGTATGAATATTACCCAACCCAAGAACTAGAGCATTAATGGTAATTTAATCTACCTATTCACTGTTCTTCCCTTTTCTCTAGTCCCCTACCTCCTTCCTAACTAGCCTCCTAACCCAGGGTTAGACACTGTCCTAAATTTTGTGGTTATCGTTACCTTGATTTGAAAAAAAATTGTTTTATCATCAATATGTGTGCCTAAGCAATATAGTTTGTTTTCACTCATCATTGAGATCTAGTTTGCATGTAGTAACATGTGTCCAGTTTAAGTCAGATGATGAATTTTGACAAATATAAACACTATTTTAATCACCACAATCAAGATATAGGACATTTCACCACCTCCAGACGTCCCTGGTGCCCCTTTACAGTCAGCCCCCCTCATTAGCCTGAGCCTCGAACATCTTCTCATCTGCTTTATATCACTATTGTTTTTCTAGAATTTTATATAAATAGAATCATACAGTATATATTCTTTTTTTCCCCTTTTTTTCAGTATATATTCTTTGATGTCTGGATTCTTTTGTTTGGGATAATGTTTTTGAGAAATTATCCATGTTGTGTGAAACGGTAGTAGTTCATTCCTTATTATTGTTGTATACTGTTTCATTGCATGAATAGAGCACAATTTGTTTATTCATTTACCTGTGTGGAATATTTGGGTTGTGTCCAGTTTGGGGCGGTTATGAAGAAAGCTGCTATTATGAACATTCATGTACAGGTCTCTGTGTGGGTATATGATATTATTTCTCTTGGATAAATACCTAGGAGTGGAATAGATGGGTCACATGATAAAGGATAAGAGAGAGAACCATTTTACGTTTTACCAACAATGTATGAGAGGTCCATTTGTTCCTCGTACTTTCTAACACTTGGTATTGTCAGGCTTTTTAATTTTGGGCATTCTGGGGAGCGTGTAGTGTATCTCTGTAGTTTTAATTTGCTTTTCTCTGGTGAATAATAATATTGAGCATTCATGTGCTATTGGCCATTTGTGTATCTTCTTTTTTTCCATTTTAAATGTAAGATTTTTATCTTTTATATTATTATATTATAAAGGCCTCTTGATACAATTCCTTTCCTAGATATTTATATTATGAATATTTTCTCCAAGGCTATGGCTAGCTTTTTCATTTTTATAACAGTGGCTTTCAAAGGACAGAAGTTTTAAATTTCAATGAAGTCCAATTGACCGATGTTTTTTAAGGTTTATGCATTTTGTGTTTCCCATCTAAGAAATCTTTGCCAATCCCAGCTTCGCAAAGCTTTTTATGTTTTCTTCTAGAAGATTTATAATCTTAGCATTTATAGTTAGGCCTATAATAAGTATTGATTTAATTTTTGTGTGTGGTATGAGTTAAGAATTGAAGTTCATTTCCTTCCATGTGGATGTCCATTTGTTCCAGCACCATTTGTTGAAATTACCTTGCTGAATTTAATGTGGCAACTTTGTTGAAAGTTAATTGAAATATATATGTTTAGTTGTAGACTTTGTTCAGTGTCACTGATCTATGTGTTTGTGGTGTCTGTAGCTTTGTACTAAGTCTTGAGATTAAGTAGTTGAGTCTTCCAACTTTGTTCCTTTTCAAAAGCATTTTGACTGTCTTGTGTCCTTTGTATTTCCAAAGAAATTTCAGAATTTCTTTGTCAGTTTCTACGCAAAAGTCTGCTCACTTTTGATTGGCATTGCACTGAACATACAGATTAATTTGGGGAGAGTGGATATTTTAACAATATTGAATTTTTCAGTCCATGAACGTGATATAACCCTCCATTTATTTTAGGTCTTTTTAAAATTTCTTTTAGCAATGTTTTATAGTTTTCAGTGTAAAAATCTTGATCATGTTTCATTAAATTTATCACTTAGCGTCTCATGTTTTTGGATAATAGCGTAAATGTTATCTTTAACAGTTTTATTGAGTTATAATTGACAAACAGCACATATTCAAAGTGTACAGTTTGATAAATTTTAACATATGTATATATTTGTGAAACTACCACTACAACCAGCAAAATGAACATATACATCACTCCCCAAAGTTTCTGTGTTCCCCTGTGTAATTCATCTCTCCTGCCCCTCCCTTTCATTCCATGCCTATTCCTGTCCCTGGACAGCTACTGATCTGCTTTCTGTCACTAAAGATGAATTTTGCACTTCCTAGAATTTCATAAATAGAATTCTAGATTGTTCTCATATTTTATGGTCTTTTTTTACTTGGCAAGATTGTTTTAGATTTATACATGTTATAGCATGTATCAATGATTTGATTTCTTTTGATTGTCAAGTAGTATTCTATTATAGGCATGGACTAGAATTTGTTTATCCTTTCATCTGTTGATTAACATTTCGGTTGATTCCTAGTCTTCGGTTATTGCAAAGAAAGACGATGAACATTTATATACAGATCTTTGTATGAACATGTGCTTTCATTTCTCCTGGGTAAATACCTACTTGTGGAATGACTGGATCACATCATTGTATATGTTTAACTTTTTAAGAAACTGCTATATGGTTTTTCTAAAGTGGTTTTACCATTTTACATTCCCATCACAAGTGTATGAAAGAAAGTTCCATTTCCTCCACATCCACACCAACAGTTTATATGGTCAGCTTAATTTTAACTCCTCTAGGAGATATACAGTGATATCTCATTATAGTTTAATTTGCATTTCTCTAATGACTAATGATGTTGATCATCTCTTCATGTGCTCATTTTCTGTTTGGTGATCCAATATTTTGCCCAATTTTTTTTTATGAGGGTGGTTGTTTTCTTATCATTGAGTTGTGAGAATTCTTTATATATTCTGGGTATAATTCCTTTATCACATGTATACTTCGTGAAGATTTTTTTTCCCAGTATGTTACTTGTCTTTTCATCCTTTCAACAGTGTCTTTTGAAAAGCAGAAGTTTTAAATTTTGATTAATTCCAATGTGTGCATTTTTTCTTTTATTTACTGTGCTTTAGTATCTAAGAAATCTTTGCCTATCCTAGGTTTTCTTGTATGTTTCTCAATAAAAATGTTATAGTTTTAAGTTTTACATTTAAGTCTGATCCATTTTGAGTTAATTTTTGTGTGTGGTGCACGATATGGATCAAAGTTCTTTTTTTTTTTTTTCCCAGATGGAGAGTCCATGGTTTTAGCACCATTTTTTGAAAAGACTACCCTTTCTCCATTGAATTGCCTTTTCACTTTTGTGGGCAGTCACTGTGTAGATCTGTTTCTTTACTGCTGCTTCTTTTCCATTGATCTTTTTGTCTTTGTGCCAGTATAATACCACACTGTGCTGATTGATGTAGTTCTATAAAAAAATCTTGGTCTAAGTTTGTTCTTTTTCCACATTGTTTTAGTTATTCTAGGTAATTTGCATTTTCATTTGGATTTTAGAATTAGTTTGTCAGTTTCTACAAAAATGCCTGCTTAGGATTTTGATTGAGATTACACTGACTCTCTGGATCAGTCTGAAGAGAAATGGTACTCTAACATTACTGAGTCTTCCAACTCATGAACAAGGAGTACCTATCCATTTATTTAGGTCATCTTTAATTTCTCTTAGCAATGTTCTTCAGTGTTCAGTGTATAGGTCTTTTATAGCTTTTGTCAGATTTATTCCTAAGTATTTAATATGTTTTGATTCTACTGTAAATGATTTTGTTTTGTTAATTTCAATTTCTGATTACTGCTTATATCTAGAAATACAATTGATTTTTCCATATTGTTCTTGTTTCTTGCAGTCTTGCTAAACTCACTTATCAGTTATTGAAGGTTTTTAGAGATTCCATTGGATCTTCTACTTAGATAAGAAGATTATCTGTGAATAAAGACAGCTTTACTTCTTCCTTTTCAATTTAGATGTGTTTTATTTCTTTATTCTTGCTTGATTGCACTGGCAGGAACCTCCAGCACAATGCTGAATAGGACTGGTGAGAGCAGACATCCCAGTCTGGTTCCTGATCTTAGGGTAAGCATTTAGTCTTTTACCATTAAGTATGATGTGGACAGTAGGTTTTTCATAAATGCCTTTTATTAGATGGAAGGAGTTCCTTTCTTTTCCTCCTTTGCTAAGAGTTTTTATCAGAAGTGGATGTTGGACTTTGTCAAATGCTTTTTCTATATCTCTTGACATAATCATATGCTTTTTCTTTTTTGGTTTGTTAATATAGTGAATTACATTGATTTTTGAATGTTAAACCCAACATTGCATTCCTGAAATAAACTCACTTGGTCATGATATATTATCTTTTCTATATATAATTGAATTTGATTTTCTGAAATTTTACTTAGAATTTTTACATCTATGTTTATGAAAGATACTGATCTATAGTTTTCTTATAATGTCTTTGTGTTCAGTATGAGGGTAATGCTGGCTTCATAGAATAAGCTGGAACATATTATCACCTCTTCAGTTTTCTGGAAGAGTTTCTGGAGAATTGGTTTTATTTATTTTTTGAGTGTTTGGTAGAAATCACTAGTGGAGCCACCTGGACCAGGAGTTCCATTTCAGTTTCTTTAATAGAGGGCCATTCAGTTTATCTGTTTCTACTTGAATGGGCTTTGGTAGTTTAAGGCATTTGTCCATTTCCTATATGTTGTATTTATAAGCATAAAATTGTTTATAATGTTCCCTTATCCTTTTAACATCTGTAGAATCTTTAGTGATACGACTTTTCTTGTTTCTGCGGTAATTTGTTTTTTCTCTTTTTATCCCATTCATTCTGGCTAGAGGTTTATCAGTTTTATTGATCTTCTAAGAGACTCAGTTTTTTATTTCATTGTTTTGTCTATTTCTTGAACATTGACTTCCATCCTAATATTAATTATTTCTTTTCTTTAATTTATTATGTGCTTCATTGCTCTCTTTTTTTCCCCTAGTTTCTTTAGATGGAAGCTGATGTCACTGATTTGAGACATTAAGTGAAACATAAGATATGTGTTTTAAGTGCTATAAATTTCCTACTAAGTACTGTTTTTGCAAGTTTTCACATCTACTTATCTGCTATAATATACCCACTCTAGCTTTCTTTTTTTTTTTAAGTTTAAGGTGTATGGCATAATGATTTGAGATGATTATCACAATGAGTTTAATGAATATCCATCAGCTCATATAGATACAAAATTTAAAAAAATAGAAAAAAATTTCTTCTTGTGATGAGAGCTCCTAAGAGTTACTCTTTTAACAACTTTCATATATAACATACACCAGTGTTAATTACATTTATTTTATATTGTACATTATAGCCCTAGTACTTATTTATCTGATAACTGGAATTTTGTACCTTTTTTCTGCCTTCATCCAGTTTCTCCACCCCTCACCCCTACCTACTCCAGCTTTCTTGTGACTAGTGTTGCATGGTATATCTTTTTTCATTGTTTTACTTACAGTCTATCTGTGCCTTTATATTTAAAGTAGATTTCTGTAAAAGAAGGAAATCCTGCCACTTGTGGCAACATGGATGAACTTAGAGGAATAATGCTAAGTGAAATAAACCAGAAAAAGACAAATATTGTATGATATTACTTGTATGTGGAATCCAAAAAAAAAAAAAATAGAACTCATAGAAACAAAGAGTAAAATGGTGGTTGCCATGGGCTGGGGTAGAAGATATGAGAAATGTTGGTTAAAGGGTACAAACTTTAAGTTATAAGATGAATAAATTCTGGGAAATCTAATGTACAGCATAGTGATATGGTTGGGTTTAGATATGTCACATTACTGGTTGTTTTCTATTTGTCTAATGTGTTCTTTTTTTCCCTTTTTATTTTCTCCTGCCTTCTTTGGATTAATTAATTTCTCCTACGTCTTTTGTTTTGTTTTTTAAAAGGGTGGTTGCTCTAGGGTGACAATCTGCATCTTTTACTTACCACAGTGCACCTTAAAATAATAATATAGTATTTCACGTGTAATGTAGGAATTTTACAACCAGTATGCTTCTATTTCCCTCTCCTGGCCTTTGGGCTATTACTGTCATGCATTTTACTTCTGTGTAAGTTATGAATCCCATAGTACATCGTTACTTTTGCTTTGAACAGTTTAAGGAAATTTAAATATGAGAAATATTTGATTTAAATAAATTTAAATCTATTTATATATATACTACCCTTTCTGATTATATACACTACTATTTTCAATGCTTTTCCTTCCTCTGTATTGATCCAGGTTTTTATCTGGTATCATTTTCTTCTATCTGAAGAACTTCTTTTGTGGATCAGCTTAATCCTTTTCAGGCTCTTTTAAAAGTGTTTTTATGGTTTGTTTAGAATAGCTGTTTGTTTAGGTCTAGATTAATTCCACTACTGAAGACTTTTTTGGGGCCTGTTAAATGACCCCCATATTCAGTGACAGCTCTCCATTCTGGTTGGTGCCAATCAATTGGCAGCCCTGTGTGAACTTTGGAGAGTGTTCAGCTTTCACTTTTTCTTTAATGTTCTTTACCCTGACAGTTGCTCTTTGCCCAACCTATGGACTTTCCCCCTATGCCTGAGCAGATCTGTATTCACCCAAAGACTCAAAGTGTCCCTTGTGATGATTTTTTGCGTATCTTCCTATGCATAGCTTCTTCCTCTCTGGGACATTGCTCCAAAAATTCTAGCTGCTTCCTCGAACTTTCATCTCTGTTATCTCAACACAGAGCCTCTTGGATTCTACTTGAATTCTCTTTCTGCATAATCTGGAAATTGCCTCTAGGTGGTAAAAGGACAAGTCCTACAACAATTATTATCTCTTATGTGGAAGCAGAGTTCTGTTGTTTAGTTTTTATTGCTTTTGAACTTTTTCTCAAAAACAACAGTGTGCTCTATGTACACTTTTTTCATTATTATGTTAAAGTTCATGTTGTTACATGTAGCTATAATTCATTCTTTTTCACTGCTATATTATATTTTTCTGTGTATTTATACTGGTGTAAAATTTCCCATTCTCCTGTTGATGGCATTTGGCTTCTTTCTGGTCTTTTGATGTTAAAGACAGCTAGGCTGTAAATATTCTTATGTATGTCTCCTGGGTATATATCTGGAGTGGAATTACTGGGCCATAAGATATGTAAATATTCAACTTTAAAAAATAATGCATAAAAAAAGATAATGCTAAATTGTTTTCCAAAGTGACTATGTAAATTTACACTCCTCTCAGCAGTGCCTAAGAGATCCTGTTGATCTGTGTCTTCTCCAGTATTTTATCTCCAATAACAGTGGCACTGTTAGACTTCTTAATTTTTGTCAATATACTGAGTGTAAAATGGTATCTTATTTTGGCCTTGATTTGCATTTCGCTGATTACTAGTAAGATTGAGAACTTCTGCACTTGTTTATAGGTGACACATTTTTCTTCCTCTGGTGACTGGCATTTGATCTAGTTGGGACACTAGTGGTTCTAAGTATAGAGCTAGAACTTAGAGGAATAAAAGAACTAGATTTTTGTTTGTTTCATTTGTTTTGAAAACCCAGCTGTTCATAGAAAAATCTTTTTATCTTGCAAAAATATCCTATCCATGTTGTTAACACCTTATAAAGACCTAGGAATTCAACAGAAAGATATTGCTTGGCTTTTCAAAATTAGATAGAAATATATCTTTTGATATTTTTGAAGAGTTTCAATATTTGAAGTTCCTAGAAAACATTTTTAATTAATGAAAGTGGAATCAGGGCCTTAATTGAGAGTTTTTCTAAGGAAACAGTTACAGATAATATTGGGAGTCTCATAGGGAATCCAATATTAATACACAAAGACTAAGATGGAGACCAAAGTATCCCCTTCCATACTGATAAAGTCTAGGTTGAGAGGCTTGATTATGTCTGTCTGCAAACAAATGCGCTTTCTGTTGAACTTCAGAATTAGACAGATTTACACACCCATTTGTAGGCAGGGTTAGACTGAGCTGAGCGTCAGGAACACCTGACCCTATGAGAGCAACAGAGGATGTGTATTTCCTAAGAAAGGTTGTCTCCCCAGAGAAAGAAGGGAGATGCTCATTGAATTTTTCCTGAATTACCAATCTGGTAAATTACTTTACCTCTCCTGGGACTTCTGTGAAAAGCAGCAGAGAGATGCAAAGAATATTAAACGAATTGAGTTACCTTCATGGAGAGTGGGGAAGATGTGTTTATCTACTAACAAATATGCCTTTTTATTAATATGTCTTTATTGAACTCACACGAGCCTAGCATTATGCTTGGTGCTTTGGAGTATGAAACGAATATTAGATGGGATCCCTGCTCTTTGAGAGTTAACAGTATGATTGTGGAGAAGTTATTTATACATGTAATAAGAATAGCTCACATTTGTATAGCTCTTTGTAATATAATGGACTTTAAACATATCATTGCTATTCCCACTATAATGATAAGGAAAGTAGGGTTCAGTAAAGTAATGGAACTTGTCCATGATCACATAGTGGGACTTGATGCAGGTATTCTGACTCTAAATCCTACTTCTTTCCTGCTGCATCGTGCTGCTTTCCAAGAAGAAAAATTTTACTCTGTAAGATGGTATATGACAGGTCCCTCGGGCATACGGTGAAGGCCAAGGTAGAAGTCCAGAACAAGGGCTTCTCTGTAGACTTGAGCGGTCATACCAGGGGAGGCTTCGTGCAGCACGGTGGACTTAAGCTGCTTCTTTAAGGATAGATTATGGATAAGTAGAGAGGGTGTGAGGAGAAGGTGTCCAGATAGGCAGAAGGATTAGTGGGAGGTGTGGTGTGAGAGGATTATAAGGAGACTTGCCTGACTATACTTCAGGATCCATGTTGGGGAACTGTGTGGGGAAAGTGTGAATGAATTGGTGGTATAGATTACTCAACTTTTGCAATCTTGAAAGAGAGAGTATATGCCTGCTGCAGTTGGCGTCAAGGAGCCATTGAAAGCTCTTGAGAAATAAGATGATTGAAACACTCTGTTGACATTTTCATGCCCTTGATGCATCTCCCGTTCCCAGCTTTATTGGACTTCTTTTCTAGCTATATATGATTTTTGGTGGTGGTTTAGTTTTTATCTTCCAGTTTCATTTTTTGAATTTAGTCTATCACCTTTTATTAATCCAAGAAATCCTGGTTTTCTATTTTCTAAATTAAGTCCTCTGTATTTTTTCATTTTATTATATTTTCTTCTATTCTAGTGTGCTGTGATTTTAATTTGAACAACTGTCTCCTCCTTTGCCACTTTAGAGACACTATATTTTTTTAGAAACAGTGTATAAGTGACCTGACACTTTTGTACTTGGCTCATGTTTTTATTTCTATATTTTCCCCTTCAACTAAGCTTAAGAAATAAACAGTTTCTTTCTTTGCATTTCAGGTCCTACCTTGAACACAAGACCTCCATGAACTATATGCTGGCAACACGTCTCTTCCAGGACAGGTGGGGATGTGTTAATCTTACAGGTGGGGATTTAGTAGAACTAGATTACAAAAATTAGGAGAAGGTACAGGCAAAAAAAGAGAAGAGACTTTATGAAAGTCTTTAGTAAAATCTCTGATGAAAAGAGCCTTTCAGAAAACACAATATAAAACCTCATTTTTTCAGAATTCATTAATTCTCAGCACTTTATAATGTTGCCAGAGGCTACAAATTAAACCGTAAAGATCTTTAAGCAATCTTAACATAGGCCCTAAACGTTTTTCTTCTTAAAGGAAGGCTCTTACCCAGTGCCTTTTTACTTTAGACACAATTTTAACAGACATAATCATCTGTTTTTCTAGACTAGAGGAGATTAGAATGATCAGATTAGAAAAGGTGGAGGGGGAGGTAATTCACAAAATAAATACAGTGAGAGTTGTAAGAAATGACAACTGATAACCTCAATACAAGGGAAAATAGGGGAGAAATGATGGAAAGCAGACATTGGAATTCAAATAGCACAGCAGTCAGGACTGCTTAGTCCTGCATACTTTTGTTGCCCCTGAGACATAACTACATTACAGCACAGTTCAGTAATTGACTGACAAAATAAGGAATCTTAGTTATTTAAAGAAATCTATATTATTTTCAAGCTATGTGTGCTTTTTTTGTGGGGTTCTTAAAAATAGATACCCAGATTTCAGCCATTCCTTACAATTTCATTATCCATTATCAGGAAATATATGGAATTTCTAATTTCTCTCTGAAAATTTGTGGCTATTACCATTAATTTAGTAATAACACTGCATAGCTTCTAATGAAAGTGATCTTAAGATTTACTTGGAAAACATGGAAGCTCAGTTCTTTATATATAACCTGGTGCCAGCCCTCCCACCTCTTGCCTCCTCTCCGGAAACTTTTACAAGGCTTCTTTATCTTTAGAGTTCAGATACTGTACCAAGTTGTTTTCTGGTGTGTTACTTTTCAGAATTTTGGTTTTGCAGTGGATGAATCCTTTCAGTCTGAGGATTTAAGTCTATTAACTGGGGGCAATATTCTCCTTATTCTGTCTTTCCTTTCCTTGTCAGACTTCTCTTAGATGAATTGTAGATCTTTTGCTATATCCTCCATTTGTCTTTACTTTTTTCTCATACTTTTGATCTCATTGTCTCTTGGCTTTAAATTCTTGGAGATTTCTTGAACTTTGTCTTCTAAGCTTCTAAACTGACCTTCAGCCTTACCTGTTTTGTTATTCAGTACCAGCTCAGGAAAGGGTTGTTTGACTCTTTTATTTTGGCAGATATGAGTTTGGCATCCAAAAACTATGTTTTCTTCTAACTAGTTTTCATGGTTTATGGATGTAAAATTAAATTGGTTCTGGTACCAATTCCAGTTTGGAGGGGGCAGGGCGATTCCCCCATAGTACCATGCAGTTGCACCCTGCTGTTGTCCGAAAATTCACCTCAGTTCTGACACTGTCAGAGATTAGCATCAGATTCCACAGTTTAAGGGTTCTACAACATTCCATCCCCCAACTTCAGATGCTAGTCACAAGCCCAGTTTATTACCTATATTTCTGACCTACTGGCTGTATATCAGAGCTTGCCATGACTCCTTCCTTCCTTAGGCTCTATTAATTTGCTAGAGTGGCTCATAGAACTCAGAGAAACATTTTACTTACTAGATCACCAGTTTATTATAAAAGGATATAACTCATGGGAAGCCAGATGGAAGAGATGCATAGGGCAAGCATGGGGAAAGGGTACAGAGCTTCCATGCTCTCTACATATGCGCCACTCTCCTCCAAATTTCCACGTGTTCGCCAGCCCGGAAGCTCTCTGAACCCCATACTTCTGGGTCTTTATGGAGGTCCCATTATGTAGGCACGGTTGATTAAATCATCAACCATTGGTAATTGAACTCCATCTCTATCCCCTCCCCTTCTAGGAGGTTAGAGGGATAGGACTGAACGTTTCAACCCTCTAATTACAGAGTTGGTTCCTCTGGTGACCAACCCCCATCCTCAGCTGATTCAAGGGCTTTCTAAAAGTCATCTCCTTAACATAACAAAAGACACCTTTACCATTTGTCGCTTAAGAAATTTTAAGGGATTTAGGAGCTCTGTGTCAGAAAGAGGGGTGGAGACCAAATCTATATTTCTTTCTATAAATCACAGAATTACAAATATATTTTCACATGTCTTTGGATATCTGTTAGGTTTTTAAATTTCCTTTGTTTTTTGCATTATATTTAATTCTTCTAGATGAGTCCTATTTGTTCATCTCATTGTTTCTAGTTTATGCTGTTATATTTCCTGAAATGGTGATTTCTGATTGTCTGGTCATATTTAGCAATGAACTGTTTGCTTAGAATTGGTAGTTGCCATGAGTTTCCTCACAGGTTGTCTATTTCTGAACTGATGTGATCTCTTTGTTTGAGTTCTGATCTTTGTATAATCTAGCTAACCATGAGGGAGAAAGAAGGTGGAGCAGGCAATCTGGGAACCACCACGAAAATTAGGAAGCATTCTCCTAGGGGAAGAATAACAGTAAAAAAATTTGAGATGTAATAATATATGTCCTTCTTTATTAACACATTCAATAACAAGACCTAGCAATGGGTCTAATAACTACTGTTTAAAAAGTGTGGTAAGTGTTGGCAATATTTGGGACTCACAAAAGTTACTCTTTTGGTAACAAAATCACACTTACGCTACTGTGGATGGTTCCCTACATGTATATGATGCTAAAGTTCAGTAATAAGATTACTTTTTTCCCCCATCCAATTTGGTGCATTCCCTGACTTCTTTCTTCAGGCCCCAGTAACAACTGCTTATAAAGCATTCTAAAAACTTTGGTTCGAAACACACGAATTTCACTGTTTAACAAAGAAAGGCCCTCATGATTTACTCTTGCCTACCTTTTTAGCCTAATCTCCATTTTTCCATACCAACCGATGGCCAGTCACACCATCTCTACTTGCTCTTTCATGCTTCCTTATCCTCACATTGGAATTCCCATCCATTCCTTTGGAATGGCCTTCAATTTATCCCTAAATTCTTGCTCTAGCTATGTCCTTCCTCCTCTTACCCAGACTAGCAGGAAGTTGTCCCAGCCCTCCTTATGCCTTCCTCTGATTTATATTCCCAATATTGTACATATTGTATTATAATTGCCTATTTACTAACTACTCTATTTTCAAGTTGGCTTTTAAGAGTAGGTACTTTGTCATGTTTATCTTTGTCAATATCAAGAACCTACCATGTGGTAGGCATACATACGAACATGCATTAAAAAGATGAAATTGAGTTTGCAAGCCCCAACATCTTCCATTAAGTCTGTTCTCTTCAATCTGAACTGATGTTTTCTCTCTTGCAAATCCTGTTGTATTATTGTCAGAACTACTTTCAACCTAATCCTCTAATTTCATTTCATGGTAAGTTCATTTGGTCTGCCTTCCCTGTCCTCCCTCACTCATCCCCCACATACCCACCCTGCCCTAGGAAATAGTGTCTTACCTACTGTCTCACAGCATGATAGTAGTTTTAACCCTGGCTGCATATGAGTAACACTGTATTTGTGCCCTAACCCCTCCCAGATAGAAGTACTTTATACTTACTGAAGGCTGCCCAAGTGATTGTAGTGTGAAGCCGTGTTTGCAAATTACTAGTGCAAACCATTATCTGATGAAAAAGTTAAAATCATCTTGAGACTTTCTGATGATAAATTGACAATATTAGGACATTGGCACAGATAGAAAACATGGGAAGGAAAAGATAAAATATTTTGGTGAAGACAAATTTTTCACTTGATTTTTCTATAGATAGAAAACCTTGATATTGATTACATCTGTCTCTTTAAAAAGAAAAAACAGCAACCAATGTGATAGATTACATGTGTATGATTCCATTTATATAACAATTTTAAAATGGTAAAATTTTAGAATGGAGAAGAGAAGCCAGGGGATAGGTAAGAGGTGTGTGGTTATAAAAGGGCAACATAGGGGGTCCTTTTCGTGATGGGATTGTTCAGTATCTTGTCTGTGGTGGTGGATACATGAACCTACACAGTAATAAAATGTACCGAACTAAATATATACTAAATATACACATTCACAAATGAGTACAAGTAAAATAGGAAATTGTCTAAAAAAGAGAAAGTGTTAAGTGAAAGAAAATTGAATGACAAACAAAAGCCGATTTAAACCTGAATGGTTACTCCCTTCCTGTGGTTCAAGCCCAGTTCTAGTTTAAAGACAGTGGACAGCATCTCTTTTTTAACGATATATATATATATTTTTTTTTTAAATTGTGGGAAATCTGTTTCTCATGAGCATCCTTTTTGAACTCCATGAGAATTGAGATTAGCTCCTTTTCCTAACACAGTTCAGTGCGAGTGGAAAGAGCACTGGAGTCTGCGACCAAAGTCTTGGATTCAAATTTAAGCCCTTTAAAGCTCTGACATTGGGCATGTCACATAATGGTCTTATCCTGCTCCTTTTTGTAATAACCTTCCTCACATTGTTATTGTGAAGAATAAGTGAGACTAGATTTGTGACTAGACACACAGATGCAATATAATTTTTCTCTAAAATTCATTTGTCCTGTTCCTTTTGTTTTTTATTGATGCTCCCTAAGATTATGGTACCCTGTTCTTTTCTGAGCATGTTCTCAATTCATCTCTCCGTTTTTCCCCCAAGATGCCTTCCAAGGCATATTCGATGTCGAATCTCTGCAATACAAATCTCAGGAAAGAGTGTGTGTGTGTGTACACTCAAGAGGGAATATCTACATAATACTCTAACCCGCTTGTCCTTTCTGCTTCTGTAGGGGAAACCCAAGAAGAAGCTTATTGACAGGAAGAACACGGTAACTGATTTTTAAAAGTTGAGAAATTCTTTCCATGTGCATAATACGTGACCATGCACAGACTAAGCATGATGCTTTATTTATAGAACCATTTTCAGTTTGACTCAGCTTGAATAGTAACATAAAAATGTTTCCTATTGAAACACTATTCTGTGGCAACTTTTTACAAACTCAGTTTGGGATTTACATTTTTATAACTACAGATACGTCATTTCAACTGATAATAATGGTATTCAAATAGTTGAAATTTGACTATGTGAGAGAGACCAAAGTACTTGTGAGATTTCAAGACTACTCTCACGTTAAATTCAAATGAAAGATTATGTTTTGGCCTTGACATACCTGGGGCAAACAGCTCTGCGCTTTGTGGGACTAAGAAGAACCCCTTTCAGTTTGCCACGGAACTAAAAATGCGCAAATACCTCTTAATTTTGGCAGAGCAGAGAAAGGTCTTAGAAGAAGGGCTGGGATGACGTGCCCAACTGAAGACTGCAATCACAACAAAAACTCTTTAACTCTGAACACATACCATCTGGTCTGAGACATTACATACATCCCCTTTGTGCTGTATCTCTGTGAAAAGCAAAATGGCAGTAAGAAAGAAACCCCCTAGATCTAGCCTTTTATTTTACAGTGAAGAATTAAGATAAACTTGTTTTTCTCATCCAAATCTTTTGAAGTGTAAATCTGAGTTTTCTTTAAAGGAAAACATGATTGCCATTTAACTAAGGAAAAACAGAGAAATCAAGTTTGTAGCTTGTTTCCAAATGAAAGTCATGCTTAGTTTATAAGTTTTCTCCAGGTTTTAATCAAGGAATATGTTTCCTAGAGTATACTGCTATCAGTGTGAAAATTAGAAAAAAATCTTAAACAACAAGAATATTTAAAGATCAGTGGGTTCTGTCCTTCATTTTTTGGCACTCATTTTTTATTGCCATTGGTAGGGGTTTTTTGGTGGTATAGAGGTGTAAGCAGATGAAAGGTGGCACATGATAGACCATGTGCTGAAGCATGAAACAATTCTTTGTACATCTAAAAGGATTAAAATCATAGAGTATGTTCTTTGACCGTAATGAAATTAGAAATCAACAGTGATAGAAAATCTCCAAATATTTAGGAATTAAGCAACACATTTCTAAATAATCTATGGATCAAGGAAGAAATCATGAGAGAAATTCAGAATATTTTGAACTGAATGATAATAAAAATGTAATACTAAAATATGTGGGATGCAGCTAGAGTATAGTGTTTGGAGGGAATTTATAACTTTAAGTGCTTATATTAGAAAACAGAGGAATTAATGACTAATCTAATATTCAATTTTATGAAACTAGAAAAATAAGAGTAACCCAAAGTACATAGAAGAAAGGAAGTAGTAAAGAGCAGAAATCAATTAAATAAAAGACAGACAACAAAGAAAATTAATAAAGTACAAAATTGTTCATTGATACAATAGCAGAATTGATAAAATCTTAGGTAAACTGATACAGAAAAGAGAGGGAACACTGATTATCAATATCAGATGGGAAAGAGGGGATATCACTATAGATCCTTCAGACATAAAAAAGATATAAAGGGAATATTATTAACAACCTATTCCACTACTTTGACAACCTAAATGAAATATCTGAATTCCTTGTGGGGAGGGAACTCTTAACAAAACTAACACAAGCTGAAATAGAAATTTTTGAATAGTCCCATACCCAATCAGAATATTGAATTCATAATCAGAACTTTCCTCCAAAAATTACTCAGGCCCAGTAGTTTCACTGGTGAATCATATCAACATTTGAGGAAGAATATAAAGAAATCTTACACAAACTGTTTCAAACATAGAGGCAAGGACAGTTCCCAGCTCATTTTATGTTACCAGAAAACTATGACATGAAAACCTGACAAAGACATTAAAAAAAAATTATATGCTAGTAAGTGTCTTCATGAACATAGACACAAAATTTCTTGAAAGAATATTAGTAAATAGAATCCACCAGTATATAAAAAAGATAATACAGATGACTAAAGTGAGATTTTCCCTAGTAATGCACGGTTGATTTAACATTTGAAAATCAGTCAATATCATTCACCATAATAAATAAGGGAAAAAACCCAGATGATTATTTTATTAGATGCAAAAAAAAAAATCTAATGATATTCAGCACATGTTTATGAGAAAAACTCTTATCAGGTCCAGCGTAGAATGGAACTTCTTCAATCTGATAAAGGCCTTCTATAAAAAATCTGTTTCTTACATCATACTGAATGGTGAAATATGAAGGCTTTCCCCCTGCAATTAATAATCAGGCAAAGTGTCAAATCTCACCATTTGTATTCCCTTTTTACTAGAGGTCTTAAGCAGTACAATAAAGCAAAGACAGGGTGGGGGGATAAAAGCTATACAAATTAGAAAGGAAGAAGTTAAATGTCTTTATTCTTAGATGGCATAATCAGGTTAGTAGAAAATCCTAAGGCATATATAGAGTAGCTACAAGAACATACAAGTAGAGGGGAGGATATAGCTCAAGTGGTAGAGCACATGCTTAGCATGCACGAGGTCCTGGGTTCAATCCCTAGTACTTCCTCCAAATATAAGTAAATAAATAAACCTAATTACCACCCCCCCATAAAACAAAACAAACAAACAAACAAAAAAGAACATATAAATATACTTATCAAGGTCTTAGGATCAATATACTAAAATCTATTTTTTTAATATACTATCAGTAAATAATTGCAAAATGGAATTTAAAATTCCATTTACAGTAGCTTTTGAAAATATGAAATTCTTAGGGATAAATTTAACAAAATATTCTTAATACTTACAAATATTTTGTGTAATTAATACTTACATATTAAAAGCTGCTAATTATTACTTAAAGAGATTAAAGAAGATCTAAATAAGTCCAGAGGTATGTCATGTTCATGGATTAGAAAACAGATTGTAAGTATCCATTCTCCCCAAATTGATCTAAAGATCCAGTACAATTTCAATCAATAGTCTAATAGATTTTTTGTAGGAATTGACTGTTTTATTAAAATTTATATGGAAATATAAAGGATATAGAATACCCAAAGTAATTTTAAAAAGAATTAGAGGACCTGCCTTAAAGAAATATGATAATGCTATCATAATCAAAGCTGCAGCAAATTGATCAATGGAACAGAATAAAAAGCCCAGAAATAGGCTCATATTTATATATGGTCATGACTTTAAACAATAAACTTAAAGTAATCCAATGGGGAAAGGTAACTTTTTTTAACAAATGGTGCTGGAACTGGATATTATATTTTTAAATGAACCTCGGCCCCAACATTAGGTGATTCATAGACAGATACATAAAAGCTATTACTATAAAACTTCTTGAGGAAAATATCTTTGTGACTTTGGGCTTGGCAAAAGGTTTTAAACATGACACAGAAAGCAATAAGCAAAAAGGGAAAAGTGATAAGCTAGGCTTCCTCAAAATTAAAAAGTTTTATTTATAATAAGATTCTGTTAAAAAAAATGAGTGGGCAAGCCATAGTGAATGAAGATATTCATCAAATATATATGTCAGAGGACTGGTATTTAGGAAATATAACAAACTCCTCCAGCTAAATAATTATAAGACAGTCAACCCAGTTACAAATGGGTAAAATATTTGGACACTTCAAAAGGAAGATATGTGAATAGCCAATATAATTGAGAAAATATGCTTAACAACATTAGTTATCAGAGAACTGCAAATTAAAATCATGAGATACCACTAAACATTCAGCAAATGACTATATCAAATAATTACATTGTACACTAAATATCTTACAGTTTTATTTGTCAATTACATCTCAGTAAAGCTGGGGAAAAAGTGACTGACTGATAGCATTAGATGATGAGAATGTGGAACTAATGGAACTCTGATAAATTGTCATTGGCATCAGAATCTTTAGAAAGAATCTGGCAGTTTGTTAGAAAGCCTAGAAAATTCTACTCTCAGATCTTAGAAGAAATGAAAGACATAAGCACAAAATAACTTGTACAAAAATGTTCATAGCAGCTTTATTCATAATATTCTGAAACTGGAAGCAACCTAGGTGTCCAGCAAGAGGGGAATCAGTGAATTGTGGATTATTCATACAATGAACTAATTCTCAGCAATAAAAAGGGCTACATGCTGATACACATAACATGGATGAATCTCAAAAACATGCTGAATGAAAGGAGACTTAACACAAAAGAATTCATACTGTATGATTTCATTTTTATGAAGTTCAGGCAAACTTAACATGTGATGAAAAAATTCAGACCAGTGGTTTCCTTTGGGAGTGTGAGAGAGGAATTTACTGGGAAGGGGCGTGAGAACTTTGTGAGGGGATAGTAATGTTAGAGTTTGGATTACATAGGTCTAGGCATTTGTCAAAACTCCTCAAATAGACATTTAATATTTGGGTATTTAACTGTGTGTAATTTTTAGCTCATTAAAAAAAAAAGAAGGAAAGAAAGAAAAGAAAAAGAAAAGGAGAAAACTGCCAAAGCCCTATAAAGCAAATGTTGAACTCTATCTAGATCCTAATGGTTTGTGTGTTGAAGTGTTTAGGAGTGAATTGCATTGATGTCTCTGTGCAACTTTGAAATGCTTTAAAAATTAGGTGGGTTGCTGGTTGAATAGAAGAAGGGAAGATTGAACATGTATGTAATGAAACAAATGTAGTAAAATGGTCAGTGTAGAAACTGGGCGATAGATGTACATCTGTTCACTGTACAGTTCTTTGAACTTTTCTATCTGTTTAAATATTTCATAATAATGTGTTGAAAAAATAAAATGAAAGAGTTAGCTAAAAGGTATCACACCTTATTTGTAGGGAATTTGATTATTTGTTAGGTCAAAAATATTTATGGTGTGTCAGGTGTGTGCTGGGCAGTCTCAAAGCATCACTGATCCAGTGAGAAACAACACAAGCAGGGGCCTTGCCTTCATAGAACTAGAATTCTGTTTATCAGTTGTACATTTTCCTCAGCATTCCCTACCTCCATCCCTTGTAATAGTTGTGATTTATATTTCTGTTCAGGGTTTCTTAGAAGCTCATAGTTGTTATTTAAAAATATCAGATTTGTTTTATTTTCTTTATTATTTAATTGCCTAAAAATCTATTTTCACAACTGTGTGTGTGGCAGAAGGTAGTGTTCAGTTGTTGGAACTATGGTCAGTTGGATTTGGAGTATTTGTAAAGTTCATTAATTTGCTTCCTGTTTCTTCCCTCAGTGTCAGGACCTTCCCTGGTCTTGGCTCAATTTCCTGCCCTAGAGAAATGGCCTCCAAAATATTTACCATCCAGTCCATCCAACCAGAAATCCCTAAAAGTCCTAAATAGACCAAGAGACACAGCCTTACCATCATACTCAGGGACTGAAAACTACCAGAGGAATGAGGATGAATTTTGACCTTAAAGGGAGTACACTTTGAGTTTTAGAGAGTTCAAGAGAGAGAGAGAGCTCAGAGCCAACCAGTTAGATCTTGAGTTCTGAGTATACAGAGTTGGCTGCCTGCTTTCAGACATTAACATGGATATGTCCTTTCTGACTGGGTGACCAAGAACTCTGTCTCTCTTTGGTGACCTAGTTATCTCTGCATGCCTGGTTCTTTGCCTGGTCCTTGTCTGGACAGGACCTGATTCCTGTCACTTCCCCAATTTGTTCTTTATCTTATTTTAACTAATGCCTAATGTGGCTGTAGCCATCCACATACCCCAGCCCACTTCCCATTCATGATCTGACTGAATTTGGCATTGTCCTGTATCTTCTGCCTTCCCTGTCTGTGCCTCTGACCCTAACTACTGACTTGTCCTCAACACCTGGAGAGTCCCTGCCACTCTGCCCACCTCCTCCTATAACTAAGTAGGCTCTAAAGGAGAAATTTCTCGTATTCAAATGCTTGAGACTTAGTACATCCCAAGGTCTTAATGGCTTTTCATGAAGACACTCTCCTGTGAGTTTCACTTAGCTCTGTGCTACCATATTCACAGATTATCAGCCACTTGTCTCCTTCTCTTAACCTCTGCTAAATCTGTGTTTATTAAATACTATATGCTTTAAAAGAATATTTATGTAATTTTGAGTAGGTTATAATGAATAAATAAAGCAATAAATATATCTCTAGGGATCACCCAGTTTAAGAATTAAAGTGCTCCCAGTCTCTCCAATCATTCTTAAGGCATAGGTGTTGGGTAGTACTTATGATCTCTGCCATGAATAGTCAGCCAGTATTGCCAAGTACTTAAAAATATTTGAACGTTGTCTTCAGGTGTATTTTTGTTCAGAACATTTAACAAATTCAGATAGGCCATTAGTGAAGTTTTAATGTAGATTCCAATATTCCCATTTATCTGTCAAACTTTTTAGAATTCTCTAGAGTTACCATGCCCGCTCTGTCATTATTACAGAATTCTGTCAGACTTAGCCTTGGAATAAAGAAGAGAGCTTTCTGAAGGCTCTAGCTACCATGTTTTTTTCCCATAGAATGATCGTTGATGGAGCACCGGAACTGAAGGTAGAGAGTATGAATTCGAAGGCCAAGCTGCATGCTGCTCTTTATGAGAGGCAGCTCCTGTCTCTGGAGGTGCGAAAGCGTCGACGGCGGAGCGGCAGGTTGAGGGCCATGAGGCCAAAGTACCCAGGTATCTGCTGGTGAGCTTTCACCAAACTCTTTTATCTGTTTCCTGTCCAACTGATTCAGCTTCTTAGTTAATAGTTAATGATTCAGAACCTTCCCAATCACATATACTTACTTTTTTGGCTATAGTCTTTTTCCTCTGAAACTTATTTCAAAAGGATTATAAGTTTTTAAACCTTCAATTCTATAATGTTTGTATTGGAAGATTATCTGAAGCACACACATTTTGGCTTTTGCTCTAATTCTAGCATCTTTTAACTACCTGATACTTAGCTTAAGTTTAATGGAACCCTGAGCATTATTGTTAGGTTTTTCATGGTTAAGTATCAAGTCCAGTTTGTCCTTTGATATTGCTGAGTGGTGGAAGTATTTTAAACATGAACAGAAAAAAAGGGCATTTCTTTCTCTCCCAGAATCTTCCATGTTACAGATCTATTTGTCACTGACAAACTGACTCCCTTTTCCCCCTCCTTGTCTTGTTTGTTGAGTTGCTGTATCAGCACATCACTCACTGGGGTTTCATTGGCAAATAAAAAAGATATGGTGGTTGTCCTCACAGACCTTCCAGGGCAGTGAAGGAGAAGGATAATGACTAAACATAGGATAGAAAGATACTCCCCTGCTCTTTGCACCTCTGTGAAAGGTGCCCTTCTAAAAACTTCTAACACACTGTAGAGATTGCTCTCCTAAAATGTTTTTTGCCTTATGTTGGGGGAGAGCCATTGGTATTATGATGAGAAACATCAACTCTAATGAAGATCATTAATAGGTTTTTAGAATGTATGAGATTGGAGACACATGCGTGCTGTTAATTTTGTGCATTATTTGTGGTCTGATTTAGAAATGGGTTTTTCCTAAAAAGTTAAAAGGAAGGTATTGGGAGAGAGGAAAATTTAATCCTTTTTTCAGCAACATTAGTGATTCTTCGCATTTAGTGATTACCCAACCAGCTGAAATGAATGTTAAAACTGAGACAGAGAGCGAAGAGGAGGAGGAAGTTGCATTAGACAATGAAGATGAAGAGCAAGAAGCTTCCCAGGAGGAGTCTGCAGGGTCTCTTGGAGAAAATCAAGCCAAATACACACCCTCACTGACCGTTATGGTTGAAAATTCACCCAAAGAAAATGCTGTGAAAGTTTCTGAATGGAACAATAAAGGTGAACAATGCTGCAAAATTGAGACTCAGGAGCCAGAGCCTAAATTTAACCTGATGCAGATTCTGCAAGATAATGGCAATCTTAGGTATGTACCTTTTGTAATTATGATAATAAAACTGATAACAGCTAATTTGTACTGTGTACCGGGTCCTGTGCTGGTGGCCTAATAGCCATTTTACATTTCTTATGCATAGCAATCCTGTGAATTAATGACTGTGATTTGATATTATTATTATCAAGGAAACTGAGCCTTAGAGAAGTGACTTGTCCGAGGTATAGAGCTGTGATGCAAACGCAGGTCTCATTGGCTCAACAAACATTTGTTGGATTTTAGCGTCAGTCACTTAAGAGCACAAGGTGACTGAGACAAGGAGCTCAAGCAGCTCATGGCTTGGTGTGGGGACACTTAAAGTGTGGGGACTGTGACCCCAGTATGCTCAAAGGACTCTTAGGACACAGAAAAAGGAGTGATTGGTCCTCTTTGAGAGGGCCAGAGAGACATAGGGAGGAGGAAGTATCTGAACCAGGCCTTGACTGATGAGTAGGATTTCAGGAGGTTTGGGAGGTGACAGCTAAGTGTGGGAGTGCTAGTAGAGGAAATAAAGGCTCAGAGGGTGATGGTGCAGGCATTCATTCAGTCTCTGGACAAATATTTATTGAGCGCCTGCTTTGTACCAGGAATTGTGCTGGGTGGTATAGTGTCACAGTGAAGACCAAGACAGGCTCGTGGAACTCACAGTCTAGTGGGGAAGACTGAGAGTAAACAAAAAAATGAGGTAATTTCAGGCAGTGAGAAGTGCTATGAAGACAGTAAAATAGGATGTAGTATTAGAATGTAATTGGGCAGAAAGTTTCCTTAGATTGTGGTGTTCGGGTTTGGAAAGGTAACCTTTAAAGTAAGTCCTGAATGATGAGAAGGAGTAAATGATGTGAATATCAGAGGACAGAATATTCCCAGCAGAACTGCAAGTATAAGGCCTTGAAATTGGAATGAGCTTGGTGAGTCTGAGAAATACAGATTAGTGATGTGGAATTACCTGGGAGAAGGGTACGGTAAGAAATGAGAGTACAAAATTGGATGTCATTTGATCATAAAGGACTGTACAGGAGCCTGGACTTCATTTTCTGGATGGATAGTTTTTAAGCAGATGAATGATAAGGTTAGATCTTGGTTTAGAAAGTGAATTCTGGCTGCATTGTGGAATAGTGACTGATAAGAGGGGAACTAAAGGTAGGGAGCTGAGTTAGGGGCTGTAAAAGTTAGTCCAGAGCCAGGAAGATGAAGGCCCTGACAAGAGCAGTGGCTATGGGATGGACTTAATGAAATTTGCAAGTTAAAATTGAAAGGGCTCGGTCCCTGTAGATGTTAGAACTCCAAAGAGACTGAATTTTCCAAATTTGGTAACTTGGTGATGCCATCAGTCTATATCAGGAACACAGGAGCTGGTTTCATGATAGAAATAATGTGTTTTGTTTGGGATGCAGTGAGGTGGAAGTGCCCTGGGATGAAGGTGTCCAGTAGACAGGGGCAAATTCCGCTTTCAGAGTCAGAGTTGAACAGTTGATAGGTAAAAACTCCACAGTGGATGAGCTTGTCCAATTCAGTTTCGTTCAGCAAGCATGGATAGGGTGAAAAGGGAGGAAAGGGAAAACCAATGTCTAATGGTAGAGAGACCAAGAAATAGCAGTCAGAGAGGTAGCCATAGAACTGGGAGGGGGCGTTATGGTTAAAGCCATGAGATGAGAATTTCAAGCTATATAGTGCCTCAGGCAAACCAAGTTAGGATGAGATGTGAAAAGAGACTCCTGCATTTATGACCTTATAAAGTGGACTTAGTGGTAGAAGAGAAATGTGAGTTGGGGAAATAAGAAAGCAAGTATGAACTAATTTTCAGAGGATTTGGCAAGGAAAGGAAGGTAAGAACTCAGAGAGAGAGCACGCCAAGAGATAAAAGATTTTTTAAGATAGAAATTCTGGAGCTTACTTATAGACTAGGGAAGGATTTGATGGCAAGAGAATTAGAGGTACAGCATTGCATTTATTGACAGAGATGGGTCGTAATGGAAGATGGAAGGAGGCCTGGAGGGGTATCGCCTCCTGTAAGTCGAAAAGAAAGCACTGTGGGTTGAATGCAGTAGTTAGAAGTTGAAGAGGCAGGAAGTGTAGGTATTTAAGCATGATGGCTTTTATTTTCTAAGCTAGAGATCAGTTCTTATTCCTCAAGGGTGGAGGGTGATATTGGATTTCAGGGGATTGGAGGGGCACAGTTAAGGCTTAGAACAGTGCATGGAGAATGAGAATAGCTCCATTAGTGGAGAGCACATGGAGCTCTGTCAGGGGACCTGGCTTTGGCTTCTTGGTGCTGACCAAGTGGCTGTGTGATCACAGGCAAGTCAGAGAGCTTCTCTAGTTCTCAGTTTCCTTTTCTATCATGGGGTTAGACGAGTGGTTTTCAAACTGTGGTCTCTGGAGGGGAAAGAAGATTCCACTGAATTGAAGTAGAACATTAGAAAACTATTGGACTATATTCTAAGGTCTTTCCCAGCAATAACATTCTACTTAGATGATGTAGAAATAAATTAGTTATTCATAAATCTTCTAGATCTCACTTTCAATGAGTAAAGCGTAGTAATTGCAGGGTCTGTTAATATAAATCAGTAGTTTTCAGACTGTGTTCCAAATAGTAATTCCCTTATCCAAAAGCCCTTCATATTTTAATATTAGAGGAATAATTAATAAAATTGAGTATTCTGCTACATTTGGAGGTATCTGAAACATGCCCTTTCTAGCTCATTATATTGAAAGTGAATTTTTTGACCAAAATAGAGACTCTTTTCATTGCTTTAGACTTGAAAATAACTTCTTGTGGAGGTAAAGCTTATGGGAATGGTTGAGGGGAAGTGTTATATGGTCTCCAGACCAAGAATATTAAGTGTTGTCCTGTTGAGAAACATTTGAAAATATAAATTTCAAAATCATATTGTGCTCCCATAAACTGTCCCCATTTAGTAACAAAGATGTAGGCTTACTTACATTTGACACTCTGAAGAGCTTGTGTATTAAACTCTCAAAAGCAAATCTACTCCCCAGCCCGACTCCCCTCCTCTCTAGTCCCTCCATCACACACATACAAGCTAGATTCCAGACCCTCTTAGGATTTCTAGTTTACTCTGGACAGTCCTTCATCGTAACCTTTGGGAAACAGTGAGTAGAAAGCATTCAGTGATTGCATGTGTGAGGATTGTAAACAAAGTTTGTGTTGGGCCCTAACCTTTGCTGATGTAATTTTGGCTAGCGTGTCAGAAGGCTGATCAGCTGAAGTAACCAATATCTCTCCTGAAAGAAAGCAGATCCGCTACAATTAGGAGCTGAAGTGAGAATCATCAGTGTTTCTCTGGGACTTCTGTCTTCCAGACTAAAGCTTGATCGGATTTCCTTGTTTCCAGCCTGGACCACCAAGCAGAAATCAGCTGGGTTCTTTAGTCATGTCGCTGTGGTGCTTTTTACTATATGTAAGGATTTCTTTTTCCCGCTGAACATCGGGGCTTGTCCTAGCCCACTGGTGCATCTGTGCCAGACTCTGTTGGACCTCACTCATTTGTTCTGGGCTCCAGCCACTCCCGTCTTGTAGTTGAGAAAAGCCTGACCTTAAAATTTGGTCTCAAAAGTTCCTCTGTAGGATTTATCTATTTCCTGCTTTGGAGGCTTTTGCACACCAGAAATATTAGTTGCCATAGCAAAAGCCATACTTTTGCACTAACATCTGATAAGTATGTTTTTAAGGGCCTCCAAGGCTGAAAAACTAGTCTATATCAATACAGAAGTTCTTGTGAAGATTCAGTAATTTTCTGATCCCTTTCCCCAAGAAAGTTATTAAAAAGTTCAAAGAGATAAAGTATGAGTAGGAAATGTGATTTTCTATTCCTCTTCGATTTCTTTTTCCCCCATGGTAATAATAAGAAAATAAATAGGATTCTCCATCTCTGATTCTCTAAACAGAAAAAAGAAATCTCATGTGCTGGGTAGAAGGAATTTTTATTCAGTGACTGTATGATGGGCCTTGTTTTTCTTAGCCATTTTAATAGAAGGACCCTCAAAGGTCACTTTGAGAGAGGCAAGCACACCTTTGGTAGGTGTACCATTCTGTCTCATAACAGTGTGTTGTTTTGGATTTCTATAGCAAAGTACAGGCCCGAATAGCATTCTCTGCCTATCTCCAGCATGTTCAAGTTCGCCTGATGAAAGACAGTGGAGGTCAAACGTTCAGTGCCAGATGGGCTGCCAAAGAGGATGAACAGATGGTGAGGCTCCGCTTGCTGGAACCTTTTTACTTTCCCTTTTCCTTTTATCTTTTTTTTCTTCCATTCTTTCTTCCTTTCTTCTTTTCTTCCTTTCTTTCTTTTTCCTTCTAGGGTAAAGAGCAGTGTACTTCTGGTGAAAGATTATTCCACAGTATAGTTTACTTCCCTGTAATGTGAAGTAAATCTTACATCTGGAGCCACGTTCATCATTGTGTGTGTTAAGGGCATCAGTTTATTTCGTTCTGAACATGGAAACTGATTGCTCATTACATGTCAGGCCCTGTGCAAAAGCCCTCGAAAAGAATATCAATTTGCAGAGTCCTTTCTCAAGCAACTAAACATTTTATTAGCTCTATGAAGTAGGCACTATCATCCCCATTCTGCAGGTGAGGAAACAAAGACCTAGAGGAAGTGGGTAACTTGCCTGTCGTCCCACAGCATGTGTGTGGTGAAACTGGAACTTAAACTCAGATGTTATAACTCTACATTATTTACTCTTCCATTGTTTCCATGTGTCATAAGGCATTTGTTTTCTGTCCTGAGGGGTCAAGTTAGCTTTTTGAAAATCAACACTTTATCATAGGCTCCATTTTAACTTTTTTTCTTTACTAGTTGTAACTTTAAAGAATTCTTAGATTACTGGAGACAAACTTGTGTAATAATTTTTACTGTATATTAGTCATTTGAACATGCCTAAAATGTGGTATACCAGCAGGGTTTTTCTTTTTGGATCAGAATGGCAGGGACCTTCAAGCTTTGGTAAGGTCACCACTCATAGAAGAAGACACAGCCCTTCCCAGTCTTTTTAACCACAGAGATCTGTCACTGAAAAGAGAGAGACCTTAAGTCTGAGAAAGGTGCATACTTTGTCCATCTCAGTGGTGATCCTACTATAATTTTCAATTCTCTACATATAAGAGGCATACAATATGCCAGGCTTATTATAAAAACATGATGGCTATTCCAGAAAACAACTTGAATTTGAAGTAGTCAGTGCAACCCAGAGATAAAACCTTGTGTGTTGTGAAAAATTCGTCAACCATCAGTGGAAAATGTTAGTTCTGCTCTTTCCAAGTGGAAAATTGAAACTGCCTTCTTGAGAGTCCGTTTGTCTGCTCCACTGTGAAAAAATAATGTTTTAATATAACAGTCTGAACCATATAGTAAAGACAGCAGAGTAGAACTATAAAATCCAGCCCTCCAGTTATGAGATTGTTTCTTTATGCTGGAGTAAATTGGCACCAAAGGACAATGAACCAAAATCAAATTTAAGAAGAAGAAAATAGCTCAGGAGAGAATAACCATTACAACTGCTGGCTTGGAATTCACACAGGATTTCTCTGGGGCTTTTTATAAGAATATTTAGGACCATCCCTATGGAATTTAGGGTCAGTTCCATGCATTCTTATTTGAAAATGTGTCTAGATAGCAGACCCTAGCCCATTACCTGAGGATGGTGGCAGTGGTCTTGCTTATGAGGAAGGTAGGTGTAGAATTGCCTTCTCTGGTCCTAGTTTGGGTTAGAGATTCTTTGTTACATAACCCATAGAGGCACATCTATAGAAGTTCCCCAAATCTATCATCTTAAGGCAATTTTATTGCATTTGGGTGGTGGGTGGGGAGAACCACAATCCTTAAGGCCCTTAGTCTTGCAGAATCTTTGTTTGAAACATTTGTGATGTTATGAATGGGTATCTGTTCGGATTTCAGAGTCCTTTGCATCATCTCAAGGGAGATGTACTCCTTCTTCCCCTTAGAGACCTTCCGCTGTGCCCTTCTTGCCAACCCCCAACCCTAAAAGCACCCTGTTCTTGGGGAAGGGATTAAAAAAGCTATTATATTTCAAGCATAGTAACAGTTCTTTCTTTCCCTTCATCACTAAACTTCTTAAATTTCTTCACCTGTATTCTTCGTTACCCATTCATTTCTTAACGTCTTCTTTCTGTTCCCTTTGCTCTGCTGAAAGTGGCCGCGGTCCTTTCCAGCTCCAGCCTCATGGAAATTTTTGACATGGGAACCTTTCCTCCCTTAGCTTCCATGACACTAGTTTCTCCTGGGTTTCTTTCTACATTTCTGATGTTTCTACCATAGTTTTTGTTGTTGTTTGTTTGTTTGTTTGTTTCTGATTCTTCCTCCTCTTTCCTATCTCTAAGTATCAATATTTATGTATTCTTTCTCTTACCTTCTCCCCTTTGATGACTTCACCTGCTCCCGTGGTTTTATCTTCTGCTACCTATTCTTGAATGCTCCTTTCCCTAGACAGTTTTCTCTGATCACCCTATTAGAAGTGGTAGCTGTGCTTTGAATTATTATAGTACTATTTATATATGAATTACGGTATTCTTACAGCCACTACTTTACATAGCTATTTGCATACACATTTGATTTTGATTTTCTGATCGCCAGCTTACTACAGGAAGAGAATACATTTGTTTTGTTTTGTTCTTGTTTTACTGTATCCTTGTTATACCTAATCTGTTCGCCCCGAGTCTTGTTTGTTGAAGTGTGTAGTATATGTCTTCTTACATCTCTGTTGTGTAGCCCCATCATAGCTTGTCTTGGTGGCTTAGCATAATCCCTGCTTTTTTCCCCCAATGACTCTAATTTATAGGAGCTAGTGGTTCGTTTCCTCAAACGAGCATCAAGTAACCTCCAGCACTCACTGAGGATGGTATTACCCAGTCGCAGATTGGCACTTCTGGAACGCAGAAGGATCCTGGCCCATCAACTGGGTGACTTTATCATTGTGTACAACAAGGTAGGTTGGTCCTGTGTTAGTCCTGGGCTTTGGATTGTCACACGCTGTCAGAAATAGGCTAAAAGCCTCTGTCCAGCTGGACGCAGAGGTCCTTTTTCTGTTTTCTAGCACCATCATTCACTGTGTGTGACTATTACGGGGAGTAGAACCTCACTCCTTCATCCAGCTAGTGAAATGCTACTATTACTTGTGAAGGCCCAGTGACTGTAGTTCACTCTCATCTAAAGGCATGTATTCCTTCTGAGTGCTACTGCACCTGGGATGAATCTTGGGCTTTGTGAATTTGCATTGTCATTATTGTGCCTAGAGGCAGTGGTTAGTTGGCTATTTGAGAGCAAATTTGAACTGTGGATTTCATATAATGACAGTCTTCTTTCCTGAGAGAGTTATACTTTGTTCTCTAGAATATTTTTGATAGTGACTTCATTTTACAACCAAGCCCTAAATATACACTATTTAGTTAGAATAGTTTGCAAAGCACCTTTATCCAAAGTTTTCAGAGTGCTTTAGAAACATCACTTTGAGGAGGGGGGAGATTATGGCCATTTTTTGGAAGGAAACGCTGAGGCCTGGAAGTTTAAATGGCTTTTGTGAAATGTATGGAATGGTCAGTACAATATCAACACACCAAAACCATAGCTACAGTTTACTCTAGGTTTGTTGAGAATTTTGGTACGTCTTATATAAGTGAAGAATTTACTCAATTTGGTTGCTGCTATAGGAGACTCTTCCAAGACCTAACTTTCCTCTCCCCACTTGTAACAAAATATAGTGTCTCTGTTGTCATACTGTTAAAGCTGCAAGTGTGACCACAGACATTACTAAGCTCTTTTTTCACTGGGCTACCTGAGTAGAAAGTAAAAACATTATAAAAATTTATATTTATTCTGCAACTCTTACTTGGAAATTCTAAAATGTTTCATGAAATAATGGCAGAAAGTAATGTATCAAATTTATAGATGGCAAAAGTACATGGGAGAATCACATGTTTTTACCAGAAAGTAAAGACAAATTAATAACCCAAAGGTAATGAAACCAGATGATGAAGTGTACATTTATCAGGAGTCGGTTTTATCTTGTTGTTTTTCTGTGGCGGTTGGGGCCTGGATAGGAAACAGAACAAATGGCTGAAAGGAAATCAAAGAAGAAACTTGAGGAAGAAGAGGAAGAGGGGGTGAATACGGAAGACTTTCAGGAGTTCATCAGACAAGCAAGGTAGAAGGCTTTCTTGGTTAATAAAAACTATCTTATTCCATCTTCCACAGCCCCCATTGAATTCCCAGTATTCCCTTGTTTCTAACATATGGATGTGAGTAAAATCACTCTTAGAAGGAGAAAAAGGGTTTCATGGACTTGGCCTCTCCGTTATCTCAGCCAATTATTGGCTGTTGTCATGGCTTCAGTTATCAAAACACTGCTGCTGGGTATCTGGGCTGTATTTCTAGACAGCCTTCAAAGTACACACCACTTGAAGTGCTGAGGGAGCACTTTGGAAAGTTGAAGTTAGAGGATTCTAGTGTTTACTGGCTCTGAATTTATCCCTGACCTACTGATGCATTGGAGATGACCACATTTTGCCTACGTTGAGTGGGTTGAGGAATTGGCAGTTTCTCAGCACTGTGAGGGTTACGCCTAATTTATATAAAATAAAACAAGTCCTTCATGCTTAAGATTGGCCTTTAGGGGTTGAAAAATCTCAGCATTCAACTCTCTATCTTGATACAAATCAGCCAGGCCATTTTGTCCATTTACTGTGTTATTTCCAAAGGAAGAGGTAATAAAGACATTTAATTTTTAATTTTGTGACTTGCCCTGAAAAGCCTTTTTCTAAATCAAGAGAGTTGTACAAAACCACTGAAATAAAGAATAGAACATTTGTAAAGCCCTCTTAGTCTTCAACCATCAGAGTCACAGTGGGGAGAAAAGCAGTAGATAATCAACTCTTTGTTGGTTTGTAAGTCAAGTCAGATGGTGGTTTATTAACCACCAACATAGTGTGATCTGTGCGTAATAACCTTGTATGCATCTAACGATAGCCTTGGGATCATGTGCTTAAACACACAACAAACAAATAGATCATTTTATAGGTGTTTGTAATTGTGTAATGTTATTTTGTTGACATTCTTGGGTCTTGAGGAATATGACTGATAAAGCAGGTATAGAAACAGAGCAAGAAGCAGTTTCTCACATCAACATTATAAAAATAGAAAAAAACTGGATTATGTTCAGAAAATGGCTTTACTTTTAAAGTTAAAAAATTAATTTCTTGTTCCTCCTAGGAATCTTCAAACTCCCTAAATTATAAAAAAAGAAAAAATAGCAACCTTTTAAAAAGTGATGGGTGTTCCCCTACTGGACCTAACTGGATACTAAAAATTAATTCTAAATTAATTAATTAATTAATTAATTCTAAATTAATATTAACCAATGGTATAGATTTGGAGATAAAATATTTTAGAACATATTTACTTCTGATTGTGGATTAAGTGTTGATTGTTGGAAATATGTGACAGCATCAGTTCTTTTATTACGTTTGAGGTGGTACATGGATACCTTTGTCAGGACTGATAACTTCAGATACCTGCAAGAGTGAGGCAGGAAAACATACATTATGAAGCAGGCAGAGGATAAGACAGAAAATATATAGCAGTTTATATTTTACCAGCCTTAACCTTTCCCCCTCAGTATTCTGTGAAGGGCCGAATAAAACACACTGACAGGCAGAGGCATTGTCCACTTGCAGCCTCAGCTTTAGATCTGTGTAAGTTACTTGAGGTACTTACCTTGTGGCACTTTGCTACTTTGGAGAACTTAGGGTTTACTCTGAGATTCATAGGAGCCATTTCTGAGGTGGTCATTGCAGTGTATTCTGAAGATGGCAGATAGGTTCTTTGTAATAATGCAGGTATATTTTGCTCATTTGAAGGCCACTTCTCTGGAACATAGCTAGGCTCCAGGAAACAAATGCAAAAGGCCACTGAGAAGCTGCTATAGATGTTACCAAATCCATGCATAACATGTTAACTGGAAGAATCCTATGGGCCTTCGTCTGTTTCCTCATACTTCCCATTTTGTGGATGTCCACAAAGTGCATATAATTTCAATATTTGAAGTGACCTAGAGACCATCTAGTTCAGTATGCTTCACGGTATAGATGGTTAGGGAACTCTTCCCTAGTTCTACTGGTGAGTGTCCTTATATGTAACAACGTGACTCTTTTGGTGAATATATTTCAATTATCTCAGAGTGGGGTGGGCAGTCTGTAAAGGGCCAGGCCATAAATATTTCAGACTTTGTAAGCTGCACATGGTCTTTCTAGCATATGCTTTATAAAAACCAAAATATAAAAACTATTTTTAGTGGGAGCTATATTTCATGCTGGTCAGGTTTGGCCCACAGTCTGCAGTTCGTTGACTCCTGGTCTAGAACATAGCTGTCCAATAGGACTTCCTGTGTTGTAGCTACTGAGTACTTGAAATGTGGCTAGTGTAACCGAGGAAAGGAATCTTTAAGTGTGTTTAATTTTAATTGATTTAAATTTAAATAGTCACATATGACTAGTGGCTACCATATTGGACAGTGTGGATCTAGAAAATTCACTATGGAGCGAATAAAGCCGTGTCATGCTTTAAAGTTTTCAGACTGCCTCATTTATATTCCTTTTAAACCATCTATTAATAGGGAGTTTTGCAGCTTGTGCTTTTCATTTTCCCCTTCTACAGTTTACTCTATTTCCATAATAAAATCTGGTGGAAAGATTTTCCAGAACAGCTTCCTGTTCTGACCATACTTTCTCTCCCCATTTCAGTGAGGCTGAACTGGAGGAGGTGTTGACTTTTTATACCCAAAAAAACAAGTCTGCAAGTGTCTTCCTGGGGACTCACTCAAAAAGTTCTAAAAACAGCAACAGTTTTTCTGATAGCGGGGCAAAGGGTGGTAAGTATGTTGGTTAATAAATGAAAAATTAAAAGAACAAGTGAAAAATGAGATGTGCAAAGGAGAGCCAAGAGTAATACGCTGCCTAAACACAGATGGACTCTGAGGTGGTGAAATTTCGCAGTGCCGGGGTCGGGGATGCAGAGCCATTACATTTTTGTCCTAAAAGTGGAAGAGGGACATGGTCTGATTTTTTTCTATGATGATTAACAGCAGAGAGCTTTTCAAGACAAGCTAATAATAGCTAACATTTACTGAGCACTCATATTCCTATTTACTGGACATGACCTTATTTTTTTTCTTCTAGAAAATATGGAGTAGGTGCTATTATAAAACTTTTTTATAGATGAGGAAGCAGAAGCTGGAAAAGATGGAGTAACTTGCTCCAGGGTGCCCTTCACCGTACAGTGGAACAGGAATTTGAACCATAGTCTGCCTGACTCAAAGCTTGTGCTCTTTTAATCTCTGCTCTTCTGCCTCTCCAAGTGATTATTTCTCACTCTGTGAAAGTTTTTGTTTCCTCCAGCTCATCACAGTTTGCACTGGGGCAGGAGAATTCTTTGCTGGCTGGGGCTGTTCCATACCTGGTGGGATGTCTAACAACCTTAGTCCCAAGCCCTGGATGCTGCTGGCTTCCTTCAGTCATGTGCTAGCCCAGAATGTTTCCATGCCTTTCTAAATTTTTTACTGCTAGGGAACTCCATGATTGGGGATTTTGGAATTGATGTGGACCAAACTATTTAGCTCCTGTCATATGAACAAAAATAGCAACAATACTCAGTTATAAACAAAACTCATGCTTCCAGGGTAAGAGTCATTTAAAATCTAGATGAAACATAAGACATAGATAACAATATGCTAGTTTTGTAGTGTGTTAACCACTGGATTTAAAGATGTAGACTTCTTCCCTCCTCTTCAGGCTATGATAGTCCAATGTGGAAACTGCCAGGAAAATTGGTCATTTAAAATGTAGAGCCAGTTTTCCCAAGGAAACAATGTTAATGTTTTAAAAACTGATTAGCTGCAGAGGCTAGTCTACAAAAGCCTATTTGTCTCACTTTCTAATCAAAGTATTAGTAGAAATCCTTCTGAATCCAGCCGTATTCTTTGAGCTCTCCTAACTTACCTGGGTTCTAAAGCTAGTTTATTCATCTCTTCGTTCATTCCTTCTATGTATTTTTTTTTATGAACACATGTTATGTGTCAGACATTGTGATAGTTGCTAGAGATACAGGCACCAGGACTGTCATAATCCTTGACTTTATAATATGTATTGTCTGGTGGATAAGGGTGGGTGAGTAAATACAGAAAGAAGTTTGGTGGAAACTCTGGAAAGCTCCTGGAACAGTGTTAGGGAAGGGAGGTTGAGAAAAGTATGCTAACTGAGGGAGGTGAGGTTCTGGCTTGGCGTTCACATAGCAGCTCCTCCCCTGGCAGAAATGGTGAAGCCTAACAGCGTGGACTAGCAGCACCTGTTTGTCCTGATGGGTCCTTGGAAGTTCTGGAGTTCGTGTGTTAAGGACTACCTGTGCCTAAGAAGGTCTCTACCTGTCGATAGCAACCAAGAATGACTAGAGGGTCTATAAGGAAGACCTCAATCAAGGAAACAACATTATGACATTTGATAGTATCTGGACTCATTTCAAACATGAGCACACAAATGTGTGACAGTATTACCACTGCTGGTGGTGATGGGAGAAGAGAATTCAAATGTCCTTATTCTTTCATTCTGAAAGGTATTCTGTAAAATGGCCTTCCTTAAGTTTTTGTGTGAACCTCACCCTTGAGGAAGATTTTGGAATATTTCTCTAAGTATATGATTAGCTCTGGCTGTTCTGTTGCAAAATTTTGTAGTTGTAAAAAATCCCTCATTTATTACAGTGGGAATTTATTAGACTGATTTTGTTATTGAATATACTGATGAGCCTATTTCCAGTAAACTCTCTCAACTTATTCAAGTGAAACCGAGGAGATTACTTGAAGATACAGAGCCGTTGTCGCATCCAGGTATCATGCCAACAAATATTGGGGCTGTTCTTTCCACCTCTTGGCAGTTTCCTGCTCCATACATATTATGGCTCCTTTGCTACAGTGGGTACCGCCAACCAGTTTGGTCTCTTAGTTGCCCAAGTCTGAATTCTTGGCAGAGGTGTCTGACTGCTCTCACTTATTTTCTTTTCCAGGCATGTCCTCACTTGTTGGCAGTCCATGGATGGCTGCCCTGGGTTTATGTATCTTTCCCTGGTTTAGTCCGCTGGAGCTAGGGTTGGAGCTAGTTGGGAATCATTTGGTTGGTGTCCCACTCAACAGGTCTGTGGGTGTGGCCATCCTTGGAAAAGTATGCAGTGGTTCCTAACATTGATTGCTAATTGTGTTATATTTTGGAAACAAAATTATATGTAGAGCAGTTCTCTAGCATTTGATTAGTAGCAGAGCCTAAACTCAATATTCATTTATTTCAGATCACCCTGAAACGATGGAAGAAGTGAAAATAAAGCAGCCCAAACAGCAACAAGCAACAGAAATTCACTCTGATAAGTTATCTCGTGAGTGACTTCAAACCTACATAGATTTGCTGCTCTCTGATAAATTTCTAAATGAAAAAAAGTCATCAGATATTAAATGATTCTAGAGCATGTGACATTACTCCAAAGCTGCTCCTTTTTTTTGCTTTTCCTTTTCCCTTAAATTTTCCTCTTATCTACTAATAACCTACTTTCCTTCCAAGGAAGTTTTCACTTTCTTAATGTTTAGAAACTTTTTTTTTTTCCTAGAAGTGTGAAAAGCAGGAGAGGAGTTCACCGTCATTACCAGAAACTTTGTCCTAATGTCCTAATGTTTGAAAAATACCCACTCTGGTTGATGGAGGTAGTCCCAACTCCAGCTTGTACAAAGGACTGAAAATAAAGTATTTCTGTTGCCAGGTCGTTTCAGTAGGCAAAATTCATTAAGTTCATGATGAATACTCATTAAAATCTGTATTTTTCATTATGTCTGTTTCATGCCAAGATTATTTTAATGTTTTAAAATGGTTACTTCATGCTCTATAGAGATTATATGTTAGTTTTCCCTAAAATGATGTTTGTTTATTTGTTTTTGTTTTAATAGGATTTACCACTTCAGCGGAAAAAGAGGCTAAATTAACCTGTACCAATTCCTCCTCTACTTCTTTCTCTGGTCCCCCTGCTACTCTTCTGCAGAAAATTCCCAACACCCATTTGTCATCTATTATTACAACCTCTGACCTCTCACTAGGACCAGGCCACCATTCTTCTTTATCTCAGATTTCTCCAGCCATCCCCAGCATGCCTCACCAGCCAGCAGTTTTACTGAGCACGGTCCCTGACGGTGCCTCTCCCTCCGTACAACCTGGGACACAAAACATACCAAGCCCTGCTGGCCTGCCACGCTGTCGATCAGGCAGTTACACCATTGGTCCCTTTTCCTCTTTCCAAAGTGCTGCACACATCTATAGTCAGAAACTGTCTCGTCCCGCCTCAGCAAAGGCAGGTGAGTGAGAAAATGAAAGGCAATCTGCAATGTCAGCTCCTTCCCGCCCCAATTAAAAAGAATGTCATCTCTTCCCTTTGCGTTTTCTTTTGGAAGGTAAAGGGACACATGCTGCAGAGTTCTGATGTGACAAAGGAAGAGTCTGGCATTTGGTCCAGTGGCATTCATTCATTGATAGAAAATGAGACAGGAGTTTTTAGGTGCTGGGAATAAAGAGACGAGTAAGACAGGACTTCTGTTTACTAGGAAATTACAGTCTAGTCAGGAGATTTCGCATTGCAGATAACTGTAGATCTCTGAGTGTGCTATATGCATTCTTTCTGATTCAAGTAGTTTATTCCCAACATCAGACATACTAGTATTTTTCATTTTTCAGTGCATTTAACGTCAAGTATGACCTGAATAAATAACCAAAGAATTCTTAAAACAGGGTATTTAATTTTAGATGAGGTAGATCCGTATTATTGGTCAAGTTTTTTCCCCATATTTTGATAATAGTTTTATTGATATATAGTTTATATACCATAAAATTCACCACTTTAAAGTATTCAATTTGGTGGTTTTTAGTATATTCACGAAGTTGTGCATCCAACACCACCATCTTATTTTAGAATATTTTCATTATCCTAAAAGAAACCTCATACCTGTTAGCCGTCACTGTCCATTTCCTCCTCCCACTGCCCCTGGCAACTGCTAAACTGCTTTCTGTATCCATAGGTTTGTTTATTTTGGACATCTCATGTAAGTGGAATCATGTAATTTGTGGTCTTTTGTGAATGACTTCTTTCACTTACAGTATTTTCAAGGCTCATCCATTTTGTAGCATGTATCAGTACTTATTCCCTTTTATGGCTGAATAATATTCCATTGATTAGCTGTACACTTTTTGTTTATCCATATATCAGTCGATAGACACTTTGGTTGTTTTTACTTTTTGGCTATTATGAATAATGCTACTATGAGCATTCATGTACAAGTTTTTGTGTGGCCTTATGTTTTCATTTCTCTTGGGTGTGTACCTAGTAGTGGAATTGCTAGGTCATATGGTAACTTTGTGGTTCCTCTCTTTGCGGAACTTCCAAACTGTTTTCCAAAGTATGTGAAGGTTCCAATTTCCCCACATGCTTGTCAACACTTATTATTGTCTCTTCTTTTGATTTTCCCTGTACTGGTGGGTTTGAAGTAGTGTCTCATTTTTGTGGTTATTATTTGCACTTCCCTAATGACTAATGGTGTTGAAATCTTTTCATGTGCTTATTGGCCATCTGTATACATTCTTTAGGTAAATGTCTATTCAAATCCTTTGTCCATTTGTGAATTGCAATCTTAGTCTTTTTATTGTTGAGCTGTAAGTGTTCTTTATATGTTCTGGGTACAAGTCCCTTGCCAGATACATGATTTAGAAATATTTTCTCTCATTCTGTTGATTGCCATTTCTTTTTCTTGAAGCACAAAATTTTTTAATTTTGATGAAGTCTAATTTATTTTTTCTTTTGTTGCTTGTGCTTTTGATACCATATTTGAAAAACCAAGGTCACAAAGATTTATATGTGTTTTTTCCTAAGAATTTTATAGTTTAGATTCTTATATGCAGATCTTTTATCCATTTTGATTTAATTTTTGTATGGTGTGGCATAAAGGTCTAACATCATTGTTTTGCATGTGAATATTCAGTTGTCCCAGCACCATTTGTCAAAAAAGTATTATTTCCCTGTTTAATTGTCTTGGCACTTAATCATAAATGTAAAGGTTTATTTCTGGAGTATCAACTCTATTCCACTGATCTATATGTCTGTTCCTGTGTTATGATTGTCTTCATTACTATAGCATTATAGTAAGTTTTGAAATCACCAATAGTGATTTGTATAACTTTTTTCTTCTCTTTCATATTCTTTAAGCTATTCTGGATCTCTTGCAGTTTCATATGAACTTTAGGATCAGCTTGTCGATTTTTGCAAAGATAGGCAGATGGGATTTTGATAGAGATTCCATTAAATCAGTAGATTGGAGAGTATCTTAACATTGGTCAAGTTTTTAAACACTTTAGTAATATCCATATTAAGGTGAGTTACAGTTAAGCTATGTTTTATAAATAGCTGATTTGTATTTCTTAATCAGAATCTGATGTCAAATGAAATGGATATTATAATACGCAGTTTGAATCAGAGATATTAAATGGTCTAGTTTAATAAGTCATAAATATGAATATTCACATACATATGTTTTTGCAAATTCCAAATGATTATTCTTATCATTTAATCTTCTAAAATCAGTAGTAATAATATTTATCAATAATGTTCAGGTTTAAGTTTTTTTCTCCCATGTGAGAGAAATTCAGGGAGATCAATGTCTCCAGTACCTGTATTATCATCAAAACTTCTTTTTTAAATCTTCCTTTTGCATACCTTTCCCAGAGGATAAGGAACAGAAGAACGTAGTCAGTTCAAAAATATTTCTTAATTTCTGTTGTGACTTCTTTTTTGACCCATAGATTGTTTATAAGTATATTGTTTAATTTTCAGAGTGTTGGCATTCTCTACTTCTTATAAGTGGCTTTTAGCTTAATTCCACTGTGGTCAGAAAACATATCTGAATGGGTTAAACAGTAGTAGACAACAATATATAGGTAACAATATATACTCAACAATATAATAATAGACAACAATAATAGCCTATAAGTGATTGGAGTCAAATTTCTCTGTGGTGATTAAATAGTTTGGGAATGAGATTATGATACTATTTAACTTTAAACTTTTCCAAGATTAGATACAGTGTCAAATTTCAAAGGTCACCACTAAAAAAGTTGAAATACAGAAATTTAAACATGGGAAAAAGAAAAATGGGTTGGGGTGGGAAAAACACCCACAAACAGAAGCACACAAGCATAAAGAAGTAGAAATGTAAAAGATGATAAACCGAGTTCTAATGTATCAAGAGTCAAATAAATATAAATGAGTTGAACCTGTTAAAAGAGTGTCAGATTGAATTTGTTTTAAATCCAACTGTATATTGTTTACCAAAGAAAGACACATGTAAAGATAAGGACGTGAAATGGTTGAAAGTAAAAGGATGAAGAAGGAAGTACCATGTAAATACCAAAAAGGTGGTATAGCTATATTAATATATGCTAATTAACTTAAAATCTCTGACTGTATTAGGCTTTAAGATATAAAATTTTCTTACAGACATAGAGAATAATTACATAAAAACAAGAGGTTTAGTTCAGCAGAAAGATAAAACAGTTCCGAGTGCACCTAAGAAAATAACCTCCAAATAAATAGAGCGAAAACTGATAAAACTACATGAGGAATCTACAAATCCACTGTCTTGGTGGGAGATTTCCATATATTTCTACCTATTATTAATAGATAAACAGATTTTGTAAATCAGCAAAGATAAGGAGGATTTGAACAAGATGATAAGCTCTATCTACTACTCATTTATGAAACTGTTTACCCAATAATTAGAGAAGACACCTTCTCAAGTACACATGATACATTTGTAAAAACCCAGTCATGTCATACTTACATCATAAAATAAGACAACAGATGTCAAAGAATTGGTATCATAACAGCCACATTCTCTGTCCACACTGCTTTTAAATTAAATGTCAATAACAAAAAAGATGTGTAACAAGTCCCCATGTATTTCAAAATTAAAAAGAGTCAAAGAAGAAATCATAATGGAAATAGGTGTAAAGGTATTATAATTGAAAAATAATGAAAAAACTTGATGTTCAGATGTGTGGAGAGCAATGAAAGTCAGTGTTTGGAGGGAAATTTACTGCCTTAAATACTTATATTTGAAAAGAAGCAAGGATGAAAATTAATGTGCTAAGTATCTGATTTCATATGTTATAAAAACAGCAATATTGTAAGTCTAAAGGAGAAAGAAAGAAATAACAGCAAAAATTATAGAATTCAAAAATAAAGTACAGCAGAGAAAATGTCAAAGCCAAAAGCTCTTTGAAAAGCCTAATAAGAGGGAGAAACCTCTGGAGAGACTAATCAAGAGAGAAGACATGGATAAATAACATAAGGGATAGGAAAGCAGACAGAAAATACAGATGTAGCACAGGTGACAAAAATATTAGAATACTGTTAACTGCTCTATTCCAATGAAACTGAAAACCTATACAAAATGGATAGTGCCTACAAAAGTACAGCATAAGTAAAATTGGCTCAAGAAGATGGAGAAAGCCTGAATGGTCCTGTAAGTATTAAGGTCATTGATATAGTAGTTAAAAATCTTCTTACAAAGAAAGCGTGAGGCACAGATTGTTAGTAAGTAAGTCTTGACAATCTTTTAAGGGACAGATAATTCCAATCTAAAATTCTTCTAGAGCGTGGAAAAGAGACAGTAATCCTTAACTCATTCTGTGTGGCCTATTTAATCTTGATAACAAAACCAGTTAAGGGCAGTATTAGAGAGGGAGATTACAGACAGCTTCATTTGTGAACACATGCAAAATTTCTAATCAAAATGTAAGCCAGCCACATCTAGCAACATATGAAAGAGATAAGATACCATAAACAAGTTTATCCAAGGAATACAGGAGGGGTCTAACTTTAGAAAATCTATAAATGTTGTTTGTTACATCAACAGATTAAAGGAGAAAAACTGTATTCATCATCTTAGTAGATGCAGAAAATCTGATAAAATTCTATGCTCATTCATGCTAATAACTCTCAGCATGTTAGAAGAGAAGGAAGCCTTCTTAACTTGAAAAAGGGTATCTGCCAGAATCTTACAAGAGGTATCAGTGTAAATGGAGAGATGTTGAAAGCTTTCCTTTTAAGGTTAAGAGCAAGAAGAGGATGCCCCCTAACATTGCTTCTATTCAGTGTTTTATTAGAGGTCAAGAGCCAGCATAAGACAAGAAAAAGAAATTAAAAGCATAAGGGTCAAAAGGGAGGAAATAAAATGTATTTACTTGCAGATAATACATTATCTATATAAGAAAACTGAAAATAAGCTACAGATGCATTTTAGAAATAACTATTTTAGCAGCATAGATGATCATAAAATCAATATTAAAAATCAATAACTTTTTAATATATTAGCAACAAAGAATTAGAAAACTTTTTTTGTATTGTGGTAAGATATACATAATAAAACTTGTCATTTTAAGTATTTTTAAGTGTACCATTCAGTGGTATTAAGTACATTCACACTGTTGTACAACCATATCACCAAGAAAACAGTGTTTTAGAAAGCATCATTTACAATAGCATAAAAACTGTAAGCTATCTAGGGGTAAATTTAGGAAAGACTTTTATAATGAAATTTTACAAGACTTTGTTGAGAGACATTAGAGAAAACCTAAATAAATGAATAAATTAACTGTGTCCATGGATATGAAGAGTTCATATAATAAATGTTTCAGTTCTCATCAAATTGATCTCTGGATTCAACACAATTCCAACCAAAATCTCAGCAGGTTTGTTGTTGTACTTTGCAAACCTATTCTAAAATGATAGTGAAAAGACAAAAGATCCAGGATAGTGAGAAACAACCTGCTGAAGAAGAAAAAAAAAAAAGATGGAAAAGTGCCTTATTAAGAATATAGAGAGGTGATCATTAAGAAAGTATAGTTGTGGAAAAGGTACAAAGTGACTGGTGGAGCAGAATAGAAAGTTGGAAACAATCACACAGATAGATGAAACTTTGATAGATGACAGAGATGGCATTGTAGACAATAGAAAAGGAGGCATTTCTCAGTAAATGGTGCTGGGATAATTGGTTATCCATACAGGAATAAAAGTGAAATTAGATCCCTGCCTCACATTATCCATATTGTCAATTTCAGATGCAAAACTTTAAGCTTATAGAATAGAATAAGGGAGGCTATCTTTAAGATCTTATGGTAGGAAGCAAAAGTAAGACTCAGTAAGAAAAGACAGTAGAAAAATGTCAGTAGAAAAGTAATCAGTGATAATCAGAAATGAAGCAACGTGCACAACATCATTATTAATCAGGTGAATACAAATGAAGAATATGGTGAGATTTTACACTCTTAAAAGAGGGAAGAACTAAGATACTTGACAATACTAAGTGTTGGAGGGGACGTGAATTGGCAGGAGCTGTTATATTTTGTTTGTAAAAAATTACCACTTTGGTATTATCACATAAATTTGAAAATTCACATACCCTATGACCCAACTCCTAGCCACAAACACAAGAGAAGTTCTTCCACATGTGTACCAAGAGGTATATGCAAGAGTGTTCCCAGCTACACTGTTTATAAGAGCAATAAACTTGAAATAACCAAAATACCCATTAAAGAGCATATAGAAAAATAAGTTGCAGTGTACTTGAAAACTGGAATACCAAGCAGCACATTAAAGTTAATGAATTTCAGCTGTACTTAGAAAGGGTGAATCTTGGAAGTGTATTATTAAATAACAAAAGCAGAGTTCCAATGGTATCAATATAGTAGGATACCCTTTTTATAGAGCTCAAAAACAAGCAGAATTAACTAGAATTTTGTTAAGCAAGCATACACACACAAACACAAAAATACATAAAATAAAACTATTTTTAAAAGAAGGGCATGGTAAGGGGAGAATAGGGATGAGGAGGAGCACATGGCTTGATGCATGTTAATGTACTTGAGTTGGGTGGTCAGTTCACAGGTGTTCATTATAATATGCTTTATAACTTCTACATTATTGCAAATAATATTTTGTATATGTCAGATAATAAACATGAAAAAGGTAGATTTTTTAAAGCAGTATCACCAAATTATATATACAGAATGATTGTGCTTATAGAGACATTAATAAGACAGAAAGGAAACACAAACTGTTTCTGCTTTTCTGGATTTAAAATTTTTTTTCAATGAGGTGTGTGACTTTATTGTAGAAAAACATAGAAACCTTAATTTTTATATTAACTAATTTCTTTTTTACCGGAATTTCAGTGCTCAGAAATTACAGGATTCTCTGACATAGTTGAAAGAAGAAAATTGAAATCTGAAAGGAAAATCAATCATTTGATAATATAGAGTTATTGCTGTTTTTTTAAATACACTCAGTTTTGCTTCTCTCCCTCTTTCCTTTTTGAGCTTTGTAACAAGGATTGTGGATGATTTACAGTGGATGCCATAGACTACTGACAAGTGCAGTCACAACAAGAAAAACAATTAAAATTTTCAAGGCTATACTTTTTTATTCTAATGAATCTAATCTTAATAGATTAGTAAATTCTAGGATCAATTATTCCCCACTACATATGATGAAAATTATTTTTTTGTGAAGCATTCATAGTAACAAATGCACAGTAATAAAATGCACGTAATAAAAACAAATAAATGCATGTATCAGTTTGGTGGTAGGAAGAACTTCTAGGGTATAATATGGATTTATTTTTACTTTTGTGAACATTTGAAGATAGTTCATTGCTCCTTATGATGTCAGAGAGCCCTAGGATTCAGTAAAGTAAAGCATCTATTGGCTGTGATTTATCTGTCATCCTAAGTTGTTCAGGGCCTTTTTCCAAAGTGGGTGAAAACTTTTCTCTTTTTAGCAGGTTCATGCCATCCAAGCAAGCAGCATTCATTAGTAGCCAAAACACAAAAGGAGGGAGAAGATGGCTCTTCACATGGCAAACGGTACAACCCCAGTATGGTTACAGCTGAACTTCAGCGGCTAGCTGAGAAGCAGGCAGCAAGGCAGTATTCTCCATCCACTCACATCAGTCTCCTCACCCAGCAGGTATGGACAGTGTGGAGTGTCAAAGAGCTCTTTGGACCAATGGATAGGATTAACAACAGGGTACTCTGTTCTTCCCTGTCTTTACTAATTCCCATATGCTGATGCCTGTTGAATAAATATTCATTGGTTTCGAGCTCAAGAATGAAAGTGTTCCTCTTCAGCTTTAAAGAAAAAGTTTCTCTATAGGTATTGCAAAGTTAAGTCCGATGCTAGATATAATGTACCTATCCATAGATAAGTAGACTTGAATGTTCAGCTGTAAATATACTTTTTTTTAACATTTTTT